CATGAAGTGGAGGAGCTGCATATTTATACTGTGTATAACAAAGAAACTACATACATTGTAATTGACAAAGGAAACAACATAATTGCCATAATTGGTAAAGCAGTAAGCTGATGAAGCCAGTGAGTACACAAATGATCGTGAATGGAAGCCAGAGATGTATAAATAAAGGAGTGGTACAATGAAGGAGATGTTTATACAATAGGTGCGATGTTTATACACTAGATTGGGCTTGGTGGAGGAGTGGATCATAAGCTGATGGAATGAAGTATCCTTGGTCACGGTTGATGGTGAAGTCGGACCACTTTATTTGATGATTGGGGTTTGCTTTGATGTGGTCAGAGATAGCTGATTTGGTGTCGGAATTAGCAACAGAGGTGCGATGTTCTTTGACTGGGGTGTTGATGGGTCGGGATGTTTCACCTATGTAGCTTTGTCCACAATCACAGTTTATTTTATAAATAAAACATTTCGGGTTGTTGTTGTTGACGGTGGGTTGTTTTCTTCCGTTGGCATGGAGGAGGTTGTTGAGGCTGGAGGACGCTGAGAAGGTTGTGTCTTTGCCTGCCTGTTGTTTCAGGAGTCGGCTGATTTGATGTGATGGTTTACCTATGTAGGGAATGGATATCTTGATGGGGGCTGATTCTGGTTTAGATCTTTTGGCAGGTGAAAGCGTTGCTTCGATAGTTCTGTTGACTATTTCAGGTGGGTAGTGGTTGCGTTCTACAAAGACTTTCCTTAGGTGTTCAATTTCTTCTTGTAGGTTTGTTGAGCAGATGTTTTTGGCTCTTCTGGTCAATGTAGAGAAGACGCCGGTCTTGACTTTAGGGGGGGTGGTTGGAGTTGTAGTGGATGTATTATTCCGTATGGATCCGTTGTGGACCTATTCACCAATGTACCTCGGGAAGAAGCCCTTGAAGCTCTACGCGACAGAATTGACAACCTCCAACAACCCATCAACACTAGCCTCTCTACCGACTCTATCACAGCTATGTGGCAAGGAATAACCAGGCGCCAGCGATTTATGATATCCTTAGCAAATGTAACTTAAAATTCCCTCTCATAAAATACAATAATATGTAGTAATATGATGAAGAAAATAATACGAACCAGGTTAAACTATGACAACGCAATATATGAATGTATGATCGAAACATAAATCATAATAAATCACATATGATAAAAACATTAAATTAACTTCAAATATGTCATTGCGTCAACATTGAAAATAATTCGAAAATGAAGAAAAAGAAACGTGCAAGCGTAAACAAACAATATCCTGTTAATTTTGGATATGCTATGAAGAACTTCAAAATGTAATAGAAATAACATTAAATTAATGAAAGCTATTGCTCGTAAAATATGTCCTCGCGTCAACATAAAAAATAACTCCATAATGAAAAACAATTCACTTTAATTTTCAAAACATACCCAAATAATCTCTGGCTTTTTTAAGACGTGTCACGAATAATTTCACAGGTGGTAGAATTAACATGAAATTATAGAAACCATATGCTAACAAAAATTAGTAAATTAGTAATGACAAAGCGTTTGTCACAAACATATAGCTATTACCCCAGCCACATGTCGATATCTGAATGTCGCAATTATCCTCTGTCTGACCCTAAAAATTATGTAAACGTTACCGAAACTGTCATCTGATGCCTTGATACAAAATGCGAACAAATTCCATCCATTAGGTTTTGAGATATCCCAAGAATACTCGCTGTGACCTTGAAAATAATCCGAAGGTCACTGAATTCGACTGGCGTTAGACGATACTCCCAACGCATGTTGGTACTACCTTTCAGCAAAACATATTAATTCTGTCTTGTATTTTCGCACTAAAAAGTTAGACATGTGCAAAACACTAAATTCAAGTGGTGTCGGTAAATCTCCAATCTCCAGTCAATAAACCTTGGTACCAAATTTGAACAAAATCCTTCATTTCTTTCTCGAGTTCTTTCAGTAAACAGAATGGGGAGACATTTGAACAAGCGATTTTAGTTTTGAAATTGCTTTTTTGTGCAGTTTAATATCTAAGTTTAATTCTAGCCGACTTCTACCAATCTCAAACATAGCATATTTTGTTTCCTGAAGTTTGTGATGCATTTTATTGCAGATTTTACGTTTTTTGGGAGTCCCAAGCCAAGATACAAAGTCTCACGAAATGGGGATCGTGAGGCTGCAACATAGCAAAACCAATTTGCTTGAGGCTGAGATAATATGTAGAAAAATAAAACATAAAAACAGCTGCATTTGTATCATATTCTAGGTGAGGCTGACTACTATTTGAACGTCCCTCGTAGTTATACCCGTTAGAAAACCCACCCACCTCTCCGACTCTACATGCATGCAAGTGTGTTAGATATACCCGTTAGAAACCCACCCTACCCCACCCCACTTTATATGTATACATATCAAAACCTCAAAAGATATTTGCGAAAAGACATGATACAGAGGACAGTTTATATCGATTATATATCAGGACGAATATCATTTTCGTCATTTCTTTCTTGGGTTATCGCGCTAACAATCTTTATCTTGGCAAAACCCTCAGATTTTTGCTGTGACCTTGAAAATTATCTCAAGGTCACTCCATTTCACTTGTGTCGGTGAATCTCGCCAATATACCTTGGTACCAAATTTGAACAAAATCCATCATTTCTTTCTTGAGTTATCGCCCTAACAAGCTTATTTGATGTATGAAATGCAACGAAAAACAAACACTCGCGAATTTACGAGTGATTAAAACTGTTATGACAAATTAAGTAAACATTTATTACATTTTACCGCAACGAAAATTATTACAATTTACGTCAATTTTTATTACAATTTGCGTATTAAAATTTACGTCAATTTTTATTACAATTTACGTTTTTATTACAATTTACGTCAAGTTTATTACAATTTGCTGCAAGTATTACAATTTCGTTTTTATTACAATTTACGTCGTAACAGAAGACCCTTGTGCATCATAGAAGGAAGCCTACTAAAGCCCTTTTAAACAAGGATAGGCACATATATGTACTTATTTAATTAAGAGTTTCGAATATATTTTGTAAAATGTTCGGATGGATGATGCACGTGAGCCTTCCTGAAAATGCCTGACATGTTGGGATTTTGTTTATATTCCTAAGATCTTCGTAAACTATGAACATTGAACGATACTCAATCACGTGATTACAGCTTCAGATTTGATTGGGTGGGTGCCTACATTGTGACTGGCGAGGTGCTACACACCCATTTCCTGTTAGCCATGATGTCTCTGGAACATTGGAAATGTGATGCTCCACGTCGTGTTATGCAAGCCAGAGACTGGCATACACACATTTGATGATAAGATCGTGCACACGATCGAAGTTTGAAAATACGTATATTCTTACAGTGACTAATTGATATGTGGCTGTGTAACTCAATGTAAAACAGTGATTCAATTGTACTGTATTGATTCTGCTGAGATTCAACAGATGGAATTGGTGTGGTGGTTACGGTATTTAGACAAGAGAATGTGGAAGCCTCCGGACAAGCCAGAATAGTCCATCTTAGTTAAGAAATGTCTGAAAGTTTGTTTATAAAAAATCAAGAGGACCACGCTTGTCTCTGTCATCTTCAATTACATCAAATCCAACAGTCTAAACAGTCTATGAAATCGATATTTTTACCGTGGATATCCTTTTCGAAACTTGCAGAGGTGAATGATTTTATCAGTGACTTTACTGGCAGGACCACTTCTGTTTTATCTTACACTGCCATTGTAATGGAAGTTGTACAGCCACTTGATTCTTTGATTTGTAAACTTGATTTATGTTAGAGTGAAATTATCATTGAGAACATTTCTTCAAACTAGATTCATTTAGCTACAGACTTCTGCTAAACTTATTGAATCAACTTTGAAATGGGCTGATAACACTAATGGACGAATACCAAAAAAATCATAGTTACTGAAATTTACAGTCCGTTTGAGTCAGAAACGGACCGATGAATTGCAAATTTTATCATTGTACAAAATTGCCACATAAATATAAATAGTACACATGTTTATCATTTACTAATACCCAACAGCTTTCTTATATTTGAAAATTGTCCGGACTCCACCAAAAAAGTTCTTTAAGAAACTATCATTAAAATTTTGACTCAGTTCACTATTTGTTACGAGGGAGGAGTGCAGAGAAAGGGACAGCCAGGTGTGCGAGAAAGGATGGAGACGGCACAGCACAGGCTAATGAATCAATAAGTTGGTGGGCACTTGTGCACGTGCTTCTCTTACACCTGGCTGTCCCGTTCTCTGCACTCCTCCCTCGTAACAAATAGTGAACTGTGTCAAAATTTTAATGATAGTTTTTTAAAGAACTTTTTTGGTTGGAGTCCGGACAATTTTCAAATATAAGAAAGCTGTTGGGTATTAGTAAATGATAAACATGTGTACTATTTATATTTATGTGGCAATTTTGTACAATGATAAAATTTGCAATTCATCGGTCCGTTTCTGACTCAAACGGACTGTAGGAACATTATAAAACAAACAGAAGTAGACTAAGAAACATTGTGTCTACTCCCTATAGCTACTTATATACAATGTTTGGATCTGCAACATAGATACATGTCGATTCCCCAACAAAGGTAAGTGTCGAGAACATATAGAAAGAAAGTTTGAGGGTCCCTCTTACCCCTGTTCTCGCATTACCGTTTACAGTTATGTGATGATAAATGACTAATGTATTGTGTAAACTACTAATAAGTCAGTGAGTATTGTTTTAACGCTGCATCAGCAATTTTGTAGCTTTTCGATTAATGGAACAAGTGATTGTGGGGCATTATTATACAACAGAGACGGTCACAGTAACTATGACTTTTACACACCTAATCTTTGTAGCACTCATATTCTAGGCAACCACCACCGACTGAAAAATACCCGAGACCCTTTGAATAGGTTGGATAGGAGGGTAACTTTATTGACGGATAATAGCGTGTCTTTGTCATCATTTTCCTTGTCTTTTCAGCCCAGATACTGTTTACTCGTTATGAAGACCCCTTCCCCGATCTGCCACTAGCTCCCCTAATCCTGAATTTGACGGACGTCGAAACATCTGCGTCCTGTGCCCAGGAGTGTGTGGAGAGGACCACTTGTGTCACGTACACTTACCTGTCCGCGACACAGGCATGCCATCTCTTTGATACCCGCAAGGTGGAGACAGATAAGAATGTTACCAAGACAATTGCAAGTAAGTGTTGATCAATGAATCAGGTGTTTAGAGTGTGATTCGAACTATCGCAAAAACGGAAAACGCAGAAGTAGTTTTCAAATGTATACTTTATGCATATATAAATAATCAACAGATAATAACATATTTTGCAAGTTTGGCACAAGTCATTGCTACTGACCGAGGGTCATAAGGGCACACGCTACCGAATGTCAAGGTGAAGGTCATCTGTACTCAATATCTTGTATTTCACCTGTGTTACGTTGTGCCGTTAAATTACCCTGGACGTCTATTCTAGCTGTATGGGAGATCGCGCCCCAGATCCTTTCACGTTCACCACCAAATCTGTTCACTTCCTGTATGCAGTTTCGAGCATAACTTTCCCCAAAAGCACGACGAATTCTGAGAAGCAATGAACGTGACTCGGCACTAAACCAAACACGTCTCCCTCGCTGTTGTGGCCACACTGTGTGTCCATGACGTCACTGACATCGCAGCCTACGATGCTGATCAGTCCTAGCACTGGTCGTCTCGGGCCAAGATCTGCTGTGCATAGATGGTTTCTCACGCAAACGTGGTTGCGTTTTTTTAGGGTTTCCCCCACTTTTTCGGTATTTTTGCCCGTACTTTATTCTACTCGTACAAATCACTCCCGAGGTATGCATTCATGAGAAATTCATATTTAGTATTCAATTTGTTTGGACATCAGCAAACCCATTTAATTTAAATGGGTTTATTTGCTACCATCAATATTACATATAATTAGGGACTAAGCGTGAGTCTAGTAAACACGTTATGCGTATATACGAATAAATATCGATCACGTCAACCGGTGTACTGATCAGTCTGTATCTAAAGTCAGTAGCAATGCTCTTGCTTCAGAGAGCTGATGAGCCAGTTACCATGGTACCCAGGGCATATACGGCGTTTTCTGCATATACCCCCATTACTACCTTAAGCTTCTTATGGACTTTATCCTGTAATTACGTCAAAATTTCATTTCAACTTGAGTGCCTTAGTGTTTAGAGGTCCCGTGCCTGTCTGATCTTACTATGCCCAAGCTTGTTGGTATTATTACAGTGGAATCGTCTACGGCCTGCATACAGTTCATTTTCTTTCAAATTCAAGCTTATATAACTGAAATAGCGATCGAAGCTCCATTAAATTAAAGTTAACGTTAGTTAAAACTAACTCGCTCAGTCTTTTTTCAGCTTTAGTTCACCATCGCGGCCACCCAGGTCAGAATTGGTCTTCAGCAGCCCATGCTTGTCGTAAGAGGCGATTAACGGGCTCGGGTGGTCAGACTCGCTGACGTGGTTGACACATGTCATCGTATCCCAATTGCATAGATCGATGCTAATGATGTCGATTACTGTATTGTCTGGTCCGGACTCGACTGTTTACATACCGCCTACATATAGCTGGAATATTGCTGAGTGCGGCGTTAAACAACAAACCAACAAAAACAAAATCAGAATCGCGGCCAAACGTGATATACCCACGCTTTGTTGAAGTGACATTAGCTGTGTGTGTCTGATGATGTACACAAAAGATGTTACGTCAGTGACGTGTACAGTCGTTGTTCACACCGAGAGTGATATCTGATGCCGAAATTAACGTCCACTATCGTTGCTGAAATTACCGCTGAACGTATGACGGTTCTAAACCATTTCGTTTCTGAAGCGACGTACACAATCGTTGCCGGAAGTGACGTTATTTTCTCAGCTGAACGTGACCTATATTCTCTTTTCTAACAGGGTTGTTCACTTTGTTTTTGAAGTGACATTTTTTTTAAGTTGATAACTTAATCTTACATTAAGAATGGTGGCTTTTATATCCGTTGCTCGAGTGACTTCCGCTCGATTTTAACTGTTAACCATTTCCCGTACAGGATGTGCAACACTTGTTGTTCCGGATAACAGCAAAAATATGAACGGCCTCAGCAACAATGTCGGTGATGTCCACAACGTCAGCTGCATAGTGGATTACACACCAACACCCTCGGCTGTGTCCTGTCAACCGAACGGAAGGTGGACTGAGTACCCATCTTGTATCGCTGGTGGTAAGGACACACACTTTATACTCAACCAGTGCTATTAGCTAACAAAGGTGACACAAGTAGTATAACAATGAGGGAGTAACTTAAGTTCAGAGATATAGATTTTACGCTGTCTGAAAATTGGTAGGACTCGAAAATATGAAAAATACACTTGTAAATGAACAAACCGATTATTAATCGTCAGTGCAAACGAATACCTCGTCTTGACTTTTCACAGAAAGATAGGGCAAATAGCTGTGAAAAGGTATGAATGGACTACTAAAACTGAGTGATGACACCAGGTGTTCGAGAAAAGGGTGCGCATGTCCTGCCCTCCCGTTAGCACCCACCATTCACACACACAAGCCTAACAAAGTACACTATAAAGTATTAGCAGACTGACGCGGCCCACCAGTACTCCTGCCATGCGGCGGCGGCCTGTAAACAAACCAGACAATCAAGTTATCGATGAACGAGAAAAAAATGTAATTACGTCTCCTGTGTTGAAGTTCAGAGATTCTGTGGCTCACAAGTAAAGAACAACGCTTTGAATTTGTTTCACAAACACAATGGCGATAAAATGTTAAACCCATAATTAACTTCCATCGTTAATTATAATATATAAGTGTCCCCAGGCATAGCCCATAGTGTTGTCGGCTTACCTAATAGACAATCGATTGCCATTATCAAGCATAAATGCAGGTACTTGAGTAACCAGCTGCCAGAAATGTTGCTAAAAGGTGCGGATTGATCCTGATTGGTTATATGACATGCAATCATGGTGATTTGACGCTATAAATATAGGTAATACATACAAACATTACTTGCATAATTGATTTGGTAGCACCTTTTGATCGACAAAAGCTTCAATCAGCGATAGTTACGTCATAGGTGTTTTAGGCTGACATTAAGCAACAAGAACTCTATTTCCTTATGTATTTTGTTAAGTTTGGATTCCTATTGGCAATGTTACCATTATCTCCGCCATTGCACACCACCTGTTATAACATGATAACACAGAACGCCTTGGTGAAGGGAGCTTACATATCGACCCGCCAACCACTGTTGTTTTCTGCTCTTACAAAAGAATTATTGACTTCAGAAACAATTTTTGTCCTCTATAGTAAAATGAACATCGTGGACTAGATGTGTTTTGCCCTCTTGGGAGACACAATCGGCCCACTCGTGCAGAAGCTGAGAGTTGCATCCCTTAGGAATGACACAGTACACAGACTCCACGGCAGCTATAGTGCCATAGTGTAGTAGTTCTGTGACAAGTCGGTGGGCGTTTGGGGGTTGGTGGGTAATTGTATAGGTAACTCATACTTTTCGAACATTGTCTGCAATTGTCTGTGATAATTCAGTTTTGACATATGTCTTTTACACATTACCATCTTTTTGATAGTTGTTCAGTTTCATATTTTCACGAAATCCGTAAATTCATAAATGTGTTGGACAATTTGTTGCAAGAATGAAATGAAAGAGTATGCCGCGGTTATTCCATGGGACTTCTCCAGCTGTAAGTCAGTAGGGGAGGTAACCGAATATCAGATCAATACAATCTTGAAACCAGGGACAATCTACAGCAGGGATAGGTCACTCGCTTACTTTCTCTACCATTTGTACTCACTAGTGTGTGCCTCGTCATGCTCCAAAGTCCTCCATTCTACCTGTTGAAACATATCAAAGTGGAACTGGTTCCTTCGAACGAGTATTTATTTTCTTCACATGTGTCCGTATAAATATGACATTCTGTCTGTATTTTTTGTCATAGCTATATTCAAAATTATTACTTGAATTAACAATGTAATTTGTAATAGTAATCTGAAAAGTCGATGGAACTTAGGAGTAGTAGAATACAAAGGACGTGCGTCTTTTTAGATAATTTTGGGCAACATTTCATAGTTGGTCTACTTTATCTTCCAGTTCCCGATAAAACAATAGTTGTTCAGTTTTTGTTGTTTCCACTTTTAAAGTTTGAAAATTTACGCCAATGATTGGAGGTGTCTATGAGTTCGTTACAAGAATTGGCGCAGCGACCATGTGGCCTGAAGATTTTACCACGTCCATTTGTAGAGATCCCGTGCCTTTCAATTTCAGTATATTAGGGATGTAATGTAAAAACAGGATGTAAGTGTAAAAAAGGGAATGAACTGAAACAAGTATAATTGTTTTAAGCATAATTTAAATTGTTTTATTTTACATTGAATTTGTTTTGAATTTAATGATTCTGTGTTGCCGCTCAAAACGGCATTAACTGCTGTGCACTCACTCGGAGAACGGAAATAAAAAGCTGTTTAATGTGTAAATCTGGTCTTTTACTGTAATGATATAGTCAGTTTAAACTCGTGAAACATGTGAATCAAGTTGAAATATAGATTTTTCTCTGTCTAATATAACCAGTAGATGGTAAGTTATCTCTCTGCATGGTACAGGCTTGGGCATGTTCCCATTTCGCCTACATCCCATTTCGCCTACAGTCTTAAATCAACAATTTATGGTCTAGTGACTGTTATTTCATGCATGAGTAATAAGTTGACCCCCTTCAGATATAAATGGAATCTCCCATAGTTTTCCTTTATTTGATTAATAGCACATGTAGACAACATGGCTCTTTGCATTAAAATAAAAATTTTTGTTCTTCTTTCATGCTTTTATTCACAGCAAATCATAGTACAATATAATACAATAATCAAAATAACATTGGCTGTTAACTAGTACACTGTACTTGAGTTCATGGATGCCTGAGTTTATTGAAGCTTCAATAAGTGACCTGCTGCGTCCTGCAGCTGAATAGGTGATCTTCTTCCACTTTCAAGTTGTCTCAGTCGGTTGAGACACTGGTCAAGATCTCTGTAAACTCGTGAGCGTAGCCGAGTTGTTGCACCATGGTCAATCTAAAGGCGAGTGATCTTGTTGGTTGATTCAATGTTCTTGATAGCTGTTATGAATTCATAAATGTTCGGATGGTGCTTTCCGACAAGTTTTTTCAGACCATTATGGTGCTGCATCTTCCTTTACATCCCTGGATCACACACTTCCAGTGTGTAGCAACAAAATGATTAATATTTATATAATCACAAAGTGTTGTAAGTATTTCACTGCTACTTTTGATCTTCATAGCCGTAATCCTTAAGCCAATTCCTTATATAAACACATATTATAAGTTGACTCCATTTGAAGACAATGATATACTTATCTTTTAACTCATACATTGTGAAACTGACCTTCCTTAATTCCACTAAGTCAAGTCCATTCTCTCAATAGGGGTGCATTTTCTATTCCCTATTCGCCTACATGTTTACTGTAGGCGAAATGGGATGTAGGCGAAATGGGATGTAGGCGAATTGGGACTCAACCCAGGCTTGACGGTAACGTTTAGAGCGGTTGCTAGGTATACGGTTGACGGTAACGTTGAGTGCACTTACTAACAGTATGTGTCTTGCTGCAGATGTCCGCGATTGCCTGTCAGGTCAGGTGTCCTATGAAGGAATATGTTACCAGATCCCGGACAGTCCGATGACGTGGTATACGGCACACCAGGTTTGCCAAGCACTTGGAGGTCACGTACTTGAGGTCAAGGACGCAACGAAAATGACTGTAGTGGATAAGCTGTTGCTCGGAAGAGAGAATGAGACGTTTTGGATTGGAGCCTCCGATGAAATAAAGGTAGTAGAAACTGTGGCAGTTTTAGCAGCAATAGACGAAGGCTCAACGAAGGCAAGTAACTGCCGGGTGGTAAACAAAACATGATGTGAGAAAAGAGTCCCCGCCAAAAGTATCAAAAAGCAGGATTACATGAATAATTATTTAGTATGGCTTCACTGATAGCTGGAATATTGCGGCGTGAAACTAAACTCACTCACTCACTCACTCACCGATCTCGACTGCCTATACGAGGGTTCGCTGTTTTTAGCTAAGGATGCTCCAGGTATACCCTTAGCCCCTGGATTCTTGAATGCAAATTGTGTCAACCATATTCTAAAGCGGTGCCTAAAGGAGTGATAATCGCTGTGTGTGTTTATGAATTCAAATAGTTAAGAAATTGGGCGGTGGGGTAGCCTAGTAGTTAAAGCGTTGGCTCGTCACGCCGAAGACCCAGGTTCGATTCCCTACATGGGCACAATGTGTGAAGCTAATTTCTGGTGTCCCCTGCCGTGATATTGCTGGAATATTGCTAAAAGCGGCGTAAAACTAAACTCAGTCAGTCAGTCAGTAAAGTAATGAATGATTGTTTTCAGTTGCGTCTAGTCAAATGAGATCTTCGCTGAAGTTAATATACTGCATTCTTACTACAGGGCGCACAAACCAAGGTGGACAAAATATAGAGATGAATTAAATGTGTTTTCAGTGTATATGTCTAAATACGTCTCAAAACAGCATTCATCCATATTACACTCTGTGATATATTCCATCAGCATTGAGCTGTAATGCAGCGTGCAGAGAATCATATTTTCTAACCCTAACGTACAGTGTTCTGTTCATTTTAAATGCTTGCCAGGACACGTGGTTCCACTGGACACGAGAGTACAACAAGATCTCGTACACGAGATGGCACAGTGAAGCCGGCGACCCCTCGGGCCACTGTGTCCAACTGAAGCGGACGTGGAATGGCGTGGATAAGGGAAAGTTCTTCTTCGACGCAACCAACTGCTCACAGCCTACATACTCTATATGTGAAATTGGGAGTGAGTTGACTTCATCATTAAAATGCATTCTCTCAATCTTTAGAATGCACACTTGTGCACCATTTAGTGTATTAATGGGTTCCTGTGTAGTAATAACGAGAAAGTATTTTTTACAGATGCATGTATTACATGTATTCTGTTAGGAGTATAAAGTATTACCCTGGCAAACACACTTCTTCCTGATTCAGGGGGAAAACAAAGCATAACTGTATCAGTTAGAGTAGCAGCTGAAAGAATACATGATGTTTTTACATCATTGTAATGGGACGTCAAGGGAGTAGTGATAACACGGTTTCACTTCCACCGAAGTAGTGACAACATGATTCAGTCATACAGTGGAAAGGTGAAAACACGGTTTCACTTCCACCGAAGTAGTGACAACATAATTCAGTCATACATTGGAAAAGTGAAAACACGGTTTCACTGTACACCGACGTAGTGACAACATAATTCAGTCATACAGTGGAAAAGTGAAAACATGGTTTCACTTCCACCGAAGTAGTGACAACATAATTCAGTCATACAGTGGAAAGGTGAAAACACGGTTTCACTGTACACCGAAGTAGTGACAACATAATTCAGTCATACAGTGGAAAAGTGAAAACATGATTTCACTTCCACCGAAGTAGTGACAACATGATTCAGTCATACAGTGGAAAGGTGATAAGACCTGACATCATTTTTTGAAAACAGGTTGAAATTACATATACACATATTTTGCAGCAAGACGATTATATTTTCACCTTCATTTATTGTTTCGAGTGTGGAGCTAGACATTGAATAAACTGAGTGATATCATGTAAAGTGGATGGGTGACTGTTACAGGGCAGCATGTTGGCGACCACTGTCACGACGATAGCTGGTGCAGAGGGAGGTCATCTTGCAATGCGTCTCAATGTAGATGCATGTACCCGTACAACGAAACGGTGGGGTCCAGCGCTTCCGCTGTCTGTGATAGAGGTATGTCAAGTACAGCTTGGAATACAAGTACAACGTGTACGCTCGTGTCACCACTGAGTCAGCATTAGTATTGCAGAGTAATAATGTCGATAATACGCGAGTAAACCACTGAGTCAGCATTAGTATTGTAGAGTAATAATGTCGATAATACGCGAGTAAACCACTGAGTCAGCATTAGTATTGTAGAGTAATAATGTCGATATTACGCGAGTAAACCACTGAGTCAGCATTAGTATTGTAGAGTAATAATGTCGATATTACGCGAGTAAACCACTGAGTCAGCATTAGTATTGTAGAGTAATAATGTCGATATTACGCGAGTAAACCACTGAGTCAGCATTAGTATTGTAGAGTAATAATGTCGATATTACGCGAGTAAACCACTGAGTCAGCATTAGTATTGCAGAGTAATAATGTCGATATACGCGGTGAGTAAACCACTGAGTCAGCATTAGTATTGCAGAGTAATAATGTCGATAATACGTGAGTAAACCACTGAGTCAGCATTAGTATTGTAGAGTAATAATGTCGATATTACGCGAGTAAACCACTGAGTCAGCATTAGTATTGTAGAGTAATAATGTCGATATTACGCGAGTAAACCACTGAGTCAGCATTAGTATTGTAGAGTAATAATGTCGATATTACGCGAGTAAACCACTGAGTCAGCATTAGTATTGTAGAGTAATAATGTCGATATTACGCGAGTAAACCACTGAGTCAGCATTAGTATTGTAGAGTAATAATGTCGATAATGTAAACCACTGAGTCAGCATTAGTATTGTAGAGTAATAATGTCGATAATACGCGAGTAAACCACTGAGTCAGCATTAGTATTAGAGTAGTAAACCACTGAGTCAGCATTAATGTCGATAAGTAAACCACTGAGTCAGCATTAGTATTGTAGAGTAATAATGTCGATATTACGCTAGTAAACCACTGAGTCAGCATTAGTATTGTAGAGTAATAATGTCGATAATACGCGAGTAAACCACTGAGTCAGCATTAGTATTGTAGAGTAATAATGTCGATAATGTAAACCACTGAGTCAGAGTAATAATGTCGATAATACGCGAGTAAACCACTGAGTCAGCATTAGTATTGTAGAGTAATAATGTCGATAATACGCGAGTAAACCACTGAGTCAGCATTAGTATTGTAGAGTAATAATGTCGATATTACGCGAGTAAACCACTGAGTCAGCATTAGTATTGTAGAGTAATAATGTCGATATTACGCGAGTAAACCACTGAGTCAGCATTAGTATTGTAGAGTAATAATGTCGATAATACGCGAGTAAACCACTGAGTCAGCATTAGTATTGTAGAGTAATAATGTCGATAATACGCTAGTAAACCACTGAGTCAGCATTAGTATTGTAGAGTAATAATGTCGATAATACGCATTAAACCACCGAGTCAGCATTAGTATTGTAGAGTAATAATGTCGATATTACGCAAGTAAACCACTGAGTCAGCATTAGTATTGCAGAGTAATAATGTCGATAATACGCTAGTAAACCACTGAGTCAGCATTAGTATTGCAGAGTAATAATGTCGATATTACGCGAGTAAACCACTGAGTCAGCATTAGTATTGCAGAGTAATAATGTCGATAATACGCTAATAAACCACTGAGTCAGCATTAGTATTGTAGAGTAATAATGTCGACAATATGCGAGTAAACCACTGAGTCAGCATTAGTATTGTAGAGTAATAATGTCGATAATACGCGAGTAAACCACAAGCTGAAACACAGAGATCAGTGGGATAGAAACGAAGACATATATGACCCAGATTACTAAAAATAATTCTGTAGAATTCGTTGAGTTTTTTAACGGAAATACGGACGGTGATATTCCAGATTGGACATTGTACAACGGCTACAGATTTAGTGAGATTCCTGATTCGCTGCCCCACGATATAGCCATGGCAGCCTGTAAAAGGGAGGGCGGTGCCCTCATGGCGCCAATCTCCCACATGATGGACTCAGCCCTCAGACAGTTCTACGCAAGAAGAGGCTACGACAAAGGTATTGATACTCTTTCTTAAAAGGTAAACACATATTTATTGAGTGATAGAGAGAATACGTGAGTACATCTATCGTACATCTATCGAGTACTCTTTATTTTGTCGTTCCATCCAAGGAAACGCTTCGAAAATTACAGTGCATTCTAATTCAAATCTTCAAAGCAGAAAATATAGATATTGGAGAATGAGGTTTGAGATAAATACATGGAAGACTGGAATGAATGAAAATATTTCTCAGGTAGATTGTCACAGTTGCTTCAAGATTTCGTTTCCCAATGTCTCCTGTGCTTGCCAGCATGTGTTTACGGTCCCCGTGTTTCCAGCCATGTACTACTGGTCTAGTCTGAAGAAGAACAATTCCAAGTACGAAGATCAGGGTATTGCTGAATTTGACGACATTTTGGAGGATTATCTCCCCTGGCGAAATGGACGTAGCAGCACACCGGCGTTCACGTCGACTGGCGACTGCATTGTGTTTGAAGTCAGCAAGGCGGGGCCTAAGTTGTTCAAACACTCGTGCACATCCAATACACCCGCTCTGTGCTCGAAGGTCAACAGTAAGTAAACACTTAAAGCCAAGGTCAACACCGATCGTTGTTCACCTTACTGTCTACTCGAGCCTCGATTGTTTACAGGATATGGATGGAATACTTCGAGGTCCACCAAACATAGAACTCCTATGTGTCTCTATATTGTTTCAAAAACGCATTTCTGCCTGATAATAAGCTTTTTGTTTAACAAGAGAGTATGAGGCCTGCCGATGCACGGATGATGAAAGTATCCAATTTGTCAGTACAGTTATTTCTATCGTATATAAATTCACAGCAGGTCACACAAACACTTTTGTTCCAGGCTCTGAACGTGCTACGGTCCAGCTCGGTTCATCTGTATCCTTGGAGCCCATGCAGACTCTGTGGACCAGCACCAGTGACTGGTGTGGAGCAGAGTGTCTCAGCCAGGCTCGGTGTACCTCGTACGGATTTACAACGTCGGACAGTACATGTTGGCTGTTCAACGACACGACGAGCACTGGGGAAGCAACGACCATGGACTACTGGACACGATCTGGTAATACCTCGTGGAATAATGAAACCACTTTTAGCTTTGAGCAGTATTGAGTATCAATGTAAGCTTCAAGTCTGGAGAAAGACCAGAGTAGAAAAAAATAGTCATCCCACGGGAACAAGGTGATGGTGATTACACAAATGGTCCACATCGATGCAGATTCATGATCGCGGTTACGATACCACCTAAGGGACGCAACTCTGACAATTTGAAACTGACAAACTTTTGGGATCGAAAATGTGCTTCAAATAATGTTAGTCAAGTTTTACAACCCATTAAGGACTGTCACAAGAGAGCAGTTTAATGACTTTATGTTGAATGAACCAAATTTTTTTTATAACAGAGACATTTGATTGAATATTTATTTCAGCATGTGCCCCGATAACATCGGTACTTTATGGTACGGTTAGCGCGGTGGCAGGAACGACTGCTGTTAGCTCTGAGGTTACATACAACTGCAACAACTTCACCGCCCACGTAGCCAACATCAGCGTCACTTGTCAGGGCAACACACTGTGGACACAACTCCCAATGTGTCAACCGAGTAAGTACAGACGTTGTTCCCCATGTGTCACAGACAGTGTTTCCCACGTGTCACAGACGTTGTTCCCCATGTATCATCCGGGTAGGTACAGACGTCGTTCCCCGTGTGTCAGACGGGTAGGTACAACCGTTGTTTCCACGTTTCACCCGGGTAGATACAACTGTTGTTTCCCATGTGTCATAGACGTTGTTTCCCATGTGTCATCCGGGTAATGTGTCATAGACATTGTGTCACATGTGTCACAGACGTTGTGTCACATGTGTCACAGACGTTGTACCATATGTGTCATGCGAGTAGGTACATACCTTTGTTTCCCATGTGTTATCCGGGTGGGTACGGACCTTGTTTCCCATGTGTCAGACGAGTAGATCATACATAACTTCATATGTATTAGACGGGTAGAAATAAGCGTTGATTCCCATGTGTCACAGACGTTGTGTCCCATGTGTAATGCGAGTAGGTACAGACCTTTGTTTCCCATGTGTCATCCGGGTAAGTACGGACCTTGTTTCCCATGTGTCAGACGAGTAGATCATACATAACTTCACATGTGAAACAAGCGCTGTTTCCCATGTGTCAGACCGGTAGATCATACAAAACTTCCCATGTGTTAGACGGATAGAAACAAGCTTTGTTTCCCATGTGTCAGACGGGTAGATCATACAAAACTTCACATGTGTTAGACGGGTAGGAACAAGCGTTGTTTCTCATATGTCAGACTAAACATTCTGTCCGTAAGATAGGTACAGACATTGTTCCCCATGTGTCAGAGCAACACACTGTGGACACAACTCCCCATGTGTCAACTGAGTAAGTACAACCGTTGTTTCCAATGTGTCACAGACGTTGTTTCCCATGTGTCATCCGGGTAGGTAGAGACGTTGTTCCCCATGTGTCAGAGCAACACACTGTGGACACAACTCCCCATGTGTCAACTGAGTAAGTACAACCGTTGTTTCCAATGTGTCACAGACGTTGTTTCCCATGTGTCATCCGGGTAGGTAGAGACGTTGTTACCCATGTGTCACCCGGGTAGGTAGAGACGTTGTTTCCCATGTGTCACCCGGGTAGGTAGAGACGTTGTTTCCCATGTGTCACCCGGGTAGATACATACATACCTTCCCAGTGTCCGACCAGGTAGAGTGAGGCTCTACTCACCACGTTACACTACCTTCACGGCATTCTGGAGGTTAAGTTGTAACTTTGATACAACTTGACGTAACGACAAGCTACAGCGGAAAATGAACTTAATTTAGATTACCAGTTGTTACGAACGTTGTTGTTTGAGTATGGGTGTCTTCCTCCCAGATGACCAGCCTTGTCCTGAGAACTGGATGAGGCGGGGCTCGAGCTGCTACCTGATCGTAGAGGAGACCCTGAGTTGGTCAGCTGCAGCTGAAGCATGTGAGAACAGGAATGGCTATCTGGTGGAGATCAATGACGACGAAGAGAGACAGTTTATTGTGGATATACTGGACTTTGATAGAGATTTGGTTGTGTGGACTGGAGGCAACGACATTGGTCTGGTATGTATTCCTTTTGTATATGTTGGTAGTAGTATGACAATGGGGATTCTGGACCACTTCCGCTCATGGCCTTATTTGTGGCTTATTAAGCCCCCAGCGCCTACTGGTATTGCTAGTGATCTAAGTATATATATTACAGTGAATATGTAAAACTTAATGAGTGAATCATTGTACATAATCACTGAACTTTACATATTCACTGTAACATGTATGTACTGTATGTGCTATTGGCACCCTTTGTAACGTAGTATAGACTGACACTATATGTGCCGTTCACACTGTGTGACATGGTATAGACTGACGTTATATGTGCCATTCACACTGTGTGACTTCGTGAGTATTTGGGGCACTATACTTTAGTTAGTAAGATTAAAATACATTGTAATACCACACATCAACGTTGTGTCCGTTAGCACGCAAAGGTTATGATATTTTCTATTTTTAAGACGTGCAACATTTCGTTTCAGCAACACTGGTACCGATGGCGTCAGCATCCATTCACAGACATCACAGTACTGGACTGGTTCCCAGGAAAAGACAACATCTCAGCTGAGCCAACAGGGTACATTTTGAACGATGGCGTACGGGAAAATCAAGACTGCATAGAGCTGAGAAAGAGTTACGATGATTATTACGCTGGTAGACACTACTACAGTGACACCGACTGTGAGGAGAAACAAGCTTTTGTGTGTGAAACTAAGGGTAAAATAGTTTGTTTTGGTGTTTAATTTCCTTTTCTTCTGATGTGGAGAGCGGATATTTGACATCCTAGTGCGTGTGTATATGACGGACGAACAGTTGTCTTGCCTTGGCGTGTGTTTGTGATATGTTGCCATTGGTGGGGAATGCTAACCATTGAAAATCTATGATGCCATTTATTTATGACATCGAAAATTGCGAAGATTTGTTTTTTTAGCTTTGTCAGGATCATCTGATCATGGAATCGAACCCCAGAATCTCTGCCTAATGATCTATGGTGTGCTAGTGCCTTACCTGTGTTCGGTAAGCGTCACAAGTTGACAGGTTGTGGTGATCTGACATACCGTTAAATTCCCATTGAACAACAGGGTCCGAATGGATCTTAAGGTGAGATAGGGATCGGGCTGACCTGCTAGGTTCATGTAATGATATCTCATTTGCCTCGATCGATTCTCATGAAGAAGCGAAGAAAATAAAAGTCTAGATCTTTGAGACAATACCAGAACACACACATGATATCTAATTAGTTATTTGTTATCATTTGTGAGTTTTACGATGTAGTACCAGGATTATTAACGAACCGTATAATTGTGTGTTGCTATGGTTACCTGTTAATGTATTTCCAGTGTTCAACGTGGGCTCCCCAGGCTGTGCAGCATACCCGGAATCCCCGTGTAAATCAATTGCCGAGTGTATCAACGACCATTGCGTGTGTCCGAATGGCACATACAGGCAGACAGGCCAAGATGGACATAACAATGCCAAGTGTGATCTCAGTGAGTCGTGGTAGATGAAATCATTTTATATCATGCACTGTTTTCCACGTATAACAGTAAATGAGTTTTCTTTTTCGTCGTTTCAGGCAATATCGCGGCATTGTCATAATTGAAATACAATAAAATGGCTTCATAAATTGTTCCATTCTGTGGAATGGGAGTGACGCACATACGCTTTAAAACCCCTCCCTATCAATATAACTGTACCACGTGCCATATAAAGCAATCTTCGTAACTATTTTCTAATTTCCTGAGTAGAAAAATACTATAAATAAGCTGCCTGGCAAAATCTTACGCTTAAAGTCTTGTTTCGACCAAGCTATAAAAACAATTCGCCGAACCACTGACAACGTATCGCGGTGTCAGGGTTTTTCGACGATGTAAGACAAAAACGTATTCTTTATCTGTAATATCATTTAAAGTTTGTATTTTACTAACCTTGAGTGATAAAGGATATATTCATCTATTTCACACAAAAATATCAAGTGTTCCCTACAAAAATAGCGTTGATGAAATCCTATCGGCGAAACTGTTGCCGCTCGTAACATCCGGGTATTTTGTATGGGTTTTCGACGATGAGCAATACTTTTTGCTCCGCACTGCGAGGGAGTGTTGTGATCACGTGGCTTCCTATTTATATATTGCCTGTCACCAGCAGACTACTGATCTAACTGAATTTTTCGCTTTCTATTGTTTGTTATAAAGGGAACTGATTTTGCATCGTAAGTGGTATTAACGATCTCGGGTAAATAATATTGATGTTTGTTTGCTTTTTATATAACTTTACTTCCCGATTTCCATTGTCAATAAAACTTCTCACGACAGCGACTTGGCACCCGCCCTACCAGTGAAACTGCTTGTGCATTCCGATCTCACACGTACTCACCCGATATAGCGCGTGCAATGCAATCGTCGAAATCACCAGAACGTCGAATTCAGCTTGTGTTGGGATATGGTCCAAGACACAACTATACTTGTATCAGGTGCATCACTATCTAACAACCATGTCTTGTTTGTTTCGTCATTAGCCATTATCAAACATGTGTGTGTATACTATTTCGCCAGGCAATGTATATTGTCATATTACGTTGTCAGCTTGTGGTTAAACACACCCCAAGCTGAAATGTATTCTCTAAATGAGCAGCGTGGTATGATAACACAAAGGTGTGGATGATTTGAATGTTCTTCTATCCAGTTCAACCAGTCGGCGGTAAGGGATGCAAATCAAGGAACGATCTCTGCTTCAATCAGTCAGTCTGCATCAACGACTGGTGCAAATGTCCCTCACCGCTAATCCAGAACGGTCAAAACAACAGCTACGTCACCACGTGTGAATCAGGTTTGAACTAACGTCTATATCAAAGCTACTATATTAACTTATGGGAGGGTTTCACTTTGAAGTGGAGACAGGCATTGTATGTTCCAATGATGGGAATCGAACCTTTGTCTTTCTCACGTGCACGTTCTTACCACTTGACCATACCGTTAGCAACATGAGTCCGCTGGATTAAGGACTGATTGGCACCATTTGAAATGGAGATGACCATGGAACACTTTGTCGGTGTTCTTGTGGAAATGTTCATAGACATCGCTGGAGTCAGACAATTATAACATCTTACTAGCGTAACATTATTGACATTATTGACACTTGAAATTTTATCTTCTTGTTTCAGATATACCTGGGTGCAGTGGTGATTGGCGAGCATATGGCAACAAGTGTTACAAGCTGTTCACCTCGAGAGTAACTGACCGAAACCCAGACCAGGAATGTATACAGAAAGGCGGGCTGCTTGCCTCCCCAGTAGATCAGGATTTCAACGACTTTCTTCTCCTGTTGGGGTAAATATAGCTGTAATTATAGTTAATAAGATGAAACTAGAAACCACATTTAATCGTTGTGTGACCACTTTCTGATAAATAATCAGAAAGAAGCCAAGGCCTTTCTTTAAGACATATAGGTCCATAATAGACACACTGTATGATAGTAGCCCTTGTTTTCCACACAACTTAGATTCTTCAGAAAGTTTCTTTGGCCAACACTCAGTCACTCGTAATGTTTGATGTGGTATGTATTCGTTGCATTTTTCAGATCGCGCAGTAACAAGTGGATGAGTCTTCACGGCCGGGAGGGGGAGCTGCGGTGGGCAGATGGGACAGTCATGGGTGCCGCCAGCAACTACACCAACTTCCGGTCAGGGACCGGCAACAACATACTGGTCAACGAGACTTGTGTCTATCTCAGTATTCAGGGTGGATGGGTCAAAGATAAATGCTACGCCACTTCTCCTTCTGCGTATGTCTGTGCCACTCCTAAATGTGAGTAGTCTTGATTTATTGCAAACATATCAGGCGTTTATGAGATGGCAAGACTGTGGACACAGACGTTCCCTTTATCACCAGTGCAGGGATTGCGGTTTAGAAAAACCCGCATACCAAGATAGGTCTTACGAGCCCACTAAATTGGGACCTAGTAGGCCAAGCCCTGTATCTTGGTTGATTGTCTGTCATTGTGTAGGCGAGTACCTGGCCGCGTTTCGATTATTTGCACGGAATTATTTCCAAAGATAGAATGTTGCAGCAACAACCAAACATTTTATCTTTGTTTGCTGCTACTCACTAATCTCGACACTCCTTACTCACTGATGTCTAGGAGAGTCTACTCCTTACTCCCTGTCCGTTCTCACTTCTCCCTGCTTGCTTCTCGCTAGTTTCTTCTCCTTACTCCCTGTCCGTTCTCACTTCTCCCTGCTTGCTTCTCGCTAGTTTCTTCTCCTTACTCCCTCTCCGTTCTCACTTCTCCCTGCTTGCTTCTCGCTAGTTTCTTCTCCTTACTCACTGCACCAAACTCATCACTTCCTACTCACTACTAGTATATTAATATCTCAACTCACTACTCGCATCTCGTTAATATCTACTCGTCACGCTCTGCATCCAACTCATCACTTACTACTCACTACTAGTATATGAATATCTCTACTTGCATCTAGTTAATATCTACTCGTCACGCTCTGCATCCAACTCATCACTTACTACTCACTACTAGTATATGAATATCTCTACTTGCATCTAGTTAATATCTACTCGTCACGCTCTGCATCCAACTCATCACTTACTACTCACTACTAGTATATGAATATCTCTACTTGCATCTAGTTAATATCTACTCCTCACGCTCTGCATCCAACTCATCACTTACTACTCACTACTAGTATATGAATATCTCTACTTGCATCTAGTTAATATCTACTCCTCACGCTCTGCATCCAACTCATCACTTACTACTCAATATTCCCTTCTCACTACTCCCTTTTCCTTAATAGCTACTCCCACCTAGTTACTAACTACTCCCTGCTTGTTGATTTCAGTGTGCCATACTCTTCCACAAGTATCCAATTCTGTCAACAAGACAATGTCAGAGTTTGTACCTGTGGGCACTGTATACGAATATCAGTGTGACTCCGGGTACGTCATTGATGGGGTACACACTGGGAGGATTATCTGCCAGCCTATCATGGCTTCGTCTGGGACATCTATATGGGATCCACCTCCGTCGTGTGTCTGTAAGTGTCAGTTTGGTTTAATATAAGATTTAAATTGAGTCCCTTCATGTTCATTCAGTTGAATTTCCGGTTACATTTCAGAACACGATAATCTATTTGCATCAGTTACAACGTAAATTAGCCTTTTCCAGCTTCAATCTCACAATTTAAGTAAATCCTCTGTACAAGTAATGATTCAAATACTCAACAAGATGAACTGGCATGCCCTGTCCTGAAAGAGTCCATTGAAGTCTGTGCAAATTGTACCCGTGAAGGTCCGGGTTAGAATATTGATCTTCAGTATCCCATGCTTGTCGTAACGGGATCGTGTGGTAGGGCTGTAACGATGCATCGAACTATCGATGGATTGCAATTGTTGAGTCTCTGACAGCAATTAATCGATGGTAGAAACGAAAAAACTATCGATGCATCGATAGTATGTGTGACTATGTACCAGATTGTTTGGGTGCAGACTTGCAGCTTCTTTGAGTTTATGTTTTAACTGTTTACTTGATCTAGGCTTCAAGTTTCTAGTCAGTTATGAGAGGATACTGTTTTTATTTCATATAAACTATATATTCATTTGGAAAATGACTTCAAATGAGACAATTCAATGTGAAAAAAAATACTTTTGCAATAGTATTGCAATAGTATGTTGCAATAGACAATCGCTATCGCAATAGTTGTTTCCCCGTCAGCAGTCACCCCTATCGGGTGGTCAGGCTCGCTGACTTGGTTGACACATGTCCTCAGTTCCCAATTGCGCAAATCGATGCTCATGCTGTTGATCACTGGATTGTATGGTCCAAACTCGATTATTTACAGACCGCCGCCATATAGCTGGAACATTGCTGAGTTCGGCGTAAAACTAAACTCACTCACTCACTCACTGTATGAATTGCCATGTCGTTTACACCTTGCTAACATATATAGGAAAAGAAGGCGAACAACAGATGTGGATCTGAAATTGTCTCAAAACTCAATTACAGCGCTAGTGGACAGTGTGTTTGGTGATGCAGAAGAGGGGTACGGACTGACCGCCACACCAGCTATGAACGCGACAGACATACAGACGTGTGCTGAGACTTGCTACAGCAATGGGGAGGCTTGTGTCGCCTTCAGCTTCTTAGGGGTCCTCTGTCAACTCTATACAGCAGTCAGTCACCTGTCTACTGACTTCATACCATTCCCACCTGGGGCCACCGTGAAGAAACGAATAGGTATGTCATGTGAAGAAACGGATAGGTATGTGATGTGAAGAAACGAATAGGTATGTGCTGTGAAGAAACGGATAGGTATGTGATGTCCTCACATCGTATAGAGGATATGTCATGTCTTGTCTCATGAAAGCGTTACGGTATCATACTTCTATCACAAACAATTCTATTTCAATAAAAGTTTACACGGAACCAATCGCAAACGATTACCTAGTGCCCTGCCGGCATCTCCCTTCGTGGTTAGAGGACAAGATTACCACAGTGTTAACAAAGAAATGTGTTTATTTTGAGTAAAATGAAGACAAATACTGCAAGTAGACACAACGTTGTGTGCTGCTTGTTGACAATTATATATATTATATAATAAAGTGTAATATTGACAGTGATTGATAAGTATCTTTCTTAACACTTAAGTTTTCATATTTATATTTATTCTGGTGGTGATGCTAATATATCCTTCACATCCATTTCGTCATCATAGGGATCAGTTTGGTACAGGTTTCATGCATCAAAAGATGTCTGTTTCCATGGCGATGTATTGATCAAATAACTACACAGACCTCACCAAAACCTAAATACCACTCCACCTACTGTTTTCAATTGACTGTTTGTCAGTTATATGTAGCATGTGTCTTCCTAACGTCCTCAGCATGTCCGTCTGTACCCGTGGTCAGTAACGCTGTGGTGACGACAGGGACCAACCGGACAGTGGGCAGTGTGCTCACCTATGCCTGTACACCCCTCGGGCGGATCCTGCCGGGGAGTAGTTTGTCCATCACCTGTAGAGACAATGGCCAGTGGGAGAAGTTTCCGATTTGTCAAGGTGAGTCCATAAGAAACGATACCAAACATTTATTAAATATAATTTTAAGTAAGTATTTCTTTTTGTATGGGGGCGGTGGGGTAGCCTAATGGTTAAAGCGTTGGCTCGTCACGCCGAAGAACCGGGTTCGAATCCCCACATGGGCACAATGTGTGAAGCCCATTTCTGATGTCCCCCGCCGTGATGTTGCTGGAATATTGCTATAAGCGGCGTAAAACCAAACTCAGTCAATCAGTCTTTTTGTATGATTCCCATGTTCCAAACCAAACGCATTCGATCGAAAAATCCGGGAATATCTGATCAATTGAGCAAAAAACGGAGAGAGAGAGAGAGAGAGAGAGAGAGAGAGAGAGAGAGAGAGAGAGAGAGAGAGTAAATATATGGATGTATATATGATTACATACATGACGTGAGGTCTGATGCTTGAACATGTATATGGTAACTGTGCATAGCATACAATTTCATAAAATAAAACGTATTTGAACGTATGTTTGTGAGAATTGACAAATATACTTACTAAATGTTTCTGTTGATTTTCAGACCGATTCCAAACCTTCCTCATTGACACTGAAGACTGGTTCTCCAGCACCAAGAGGAAAGCTTACTACAACATCCAGTCCCTCCAAGACTGTCAGATGAAGTGCATCACGGAGAGAGAGTTCCGGTGTCTGTCTGTCCACTACGACTATGGCGACTGTGTGTTGTACATGAACAGACTCAACAACCAATCCAGGGATGGCGTGGCGGAACACTCCACCGTCAGCATCTATGCCGAGCTGAGAGGTATAGTAGCTGAACGCACTGATTACTAGCTGAATATTTATGTATATCATGTGAAAATATTCAAGATTTATTTACTTAATTGAAATACTGGTACTATATTACGTATATGCATGCATGCATACATACATACATACATACATACATACATACATACATACATACATACATACATACATACATACATACATACAGACAGACATACATTTATCACTCTCTCTCTCTCTCTCATTCTCTCTTTCTCTCTCTCTCTCATTCCTCTCTCACAAAATATACATGTCATAAGAAATATACTTGGTATATATATATACTGTATACACCGTTTGGTTTGCTTGATGCTAAACTTGATCAGAATTAATTTCATTTTCAGAATCAGACCTGAATGAGTTCCATACTGTGTACAATATGGCTGTGACCGGGATGCCGACTGGCCACCTGACCCTAAAGTCTATGGAGGAGTGCGCCCAGGCGTGTCTCCAGGCACAGTATGTGTGTCTGGCAGTAGTGTATGACACGGCCAGTAACAGCTGTCGTCTGTATGACACGATACAGGACACCCTCGTCACTTATGACAGTTATGTGTTCAAAAGACACCTGGGTATGTGATATACTTGATGATTCCGGCATGCCGAGATATATTTCATTGTTTGCCTTTGTACCAAACGTTACAAGCAGTATTCCCTTAATTACTGCAATATAAGTCGAGAATGTCACGATTGCAAGCCTTTGGGTATTTTAATCATACCTAGGACACCGTAATGAAGAAGATATCGTATACCAGCTCGGCACCATTCCACATAGCGATCTCAACACTTCTACGATCGTACTTCTATATTTTAACATGGCAGTGCAAAGATCGCTTTGAACGTTTGCGTATATAGCGTACACTATTTTGGTGTATGTCTGTCTATTATAATATATTAATATTCTTAAACGTCAGACAATAATATAACAACAGTTTTAAAATATACTTTCTTAACATTGTCTGGAAGGTTAGGAACATCGTTGTTTCTCGGTGATCAATGTGTTCCTCACACTGACTGATTTAACCTTCAGGTTGTGATCCACCCCAAGTCGTATCAGGGATGACGTCATCGGATGTGATCCGCAAAGTATCAGGGCGGTACAGCGTGGGCGATCAGCTTCGGTACACGTGTACTAATCTAGGGGAGGGTTTCACAGACAAACAGGATGGACTAGTCCATTGTCAGCAAGGGGGCAAGTGGACCAGGCTACCGACCTGTAGAAGTAAGTCGTATGAAGATATGGTTAATAACCATAAGGTCCCAAGACACAACTAACCGATTACAGAATATATTCTCTCTACGCAAAATCCACCAGTTAATGTAAATGTTAAATGGACATGATCACAGGTGATTGAGGTAGGCACGGATTCTGTTGTAAAATCGGTGCCGTCTGTGTTTGTGTAATAGAATTGAAGAATGACAACAGCAAGGATGAAATACATTGTTAATCTTGTGATTTGTTTCCCGTGTTGTGTATAGATCTGTGTGAGACGGGGTGGTACTACTGGAACGGAAGCTGTTACATGGTATATGAGACGCCACGCACCTTCAAGCAGGCACACGCTGTGTGTACCGACGTAGACGCCACGCTGCTCAACGTCAACATGGCGTATGAACTCAACTTTACAGACCAAATAAGGTACTGTGTTTTATCAGGAATGCTGTGCCGTGTGAAATAGTGGCGTTTTCGGTTCTTGGAGATGTAATGTACATGTCATAATATCAGCAGAGAATTGGAATGCTTGCTTTTCACATAAAATTTGGCATAACCAATGTTCTGTGCCTCTTTCAGCAATAATCCAGCAATATGAGTTGCAATATGAGTTGCTGGATTATTGGTGTCACACCAAGAATAGCCCTCGTACATGTCTATAGGAATTGGCCAAGGAAACCTTCGGGTAGTTCATGTCTTTGCTATGACGAGTCAACGCCTTTCCCCTGGGCAATCCCACAACTGTATAACTATCAAGACGAGACGCTTACTTTCTAAATGATACAAAACATTAAATGTCTGTCTTAGATGATCTTCATGGCAGACATGAAATTGTGCAAATCGATGCTCATGCTGTTGATCACTGAATTGTCTCGGCCAGACTCGATTATTTACAGACCGCCGCCATATAGCTGGAATATTGCTGAGTGCTGCGTAAAACTAAACTCACTCACTCACTCTCTCATGGCAGACATGAAGCGTATATTTCCACTTCTGGCGCATTAGTAAAGGATATGCTTACCGATACAATTCCCCATCTTGTTTTTTGCCATAAGTTCCTATGTTATTTTACAGTTTAAAGGTGATTTGATTTTTCATTTGTATGTGACGGGTGGTACCTGTCGGACAGGTGTGCACCTTTTTGCGAACACCTGGTGTCGTCAATATTTGACAGTCGGACTTGTGATATAAACTTTGCTTTTGACCGAATAAGTGATGATTTTATCATTCTGGAAACGGTTTAGTCCTTTACCATTAAAGGGTTTCATTTCTGATTTTTGTTTTCTATACATATATCTTTAATTGACTATTAAGATAAATCAATGATCGTAAACACTGTCCCATAATGTTTGAGTCCACCCTCATATCCCAGTTTTGTTTTGCCAGACAGAACAAGAGCATGGTGGACACGAGGTTCTGGCTCGGACTGTACACTGATCTGGGCACCTGGAGATGGACAGCGCCCTATATCGGGGACATGGAGGCCCTAACCATGGAAGTGCCGGTCGTCCAACCTGAGTCAGCCATTGTCGTCGATGTTGCTGCCAATACTCTGATAAGATTCAGCATCCTAACAGACACCGCTGCATTTGTGTGCAAGAAAGCCCTGCCAGGTAGGAACATTTTGATGTTACATTTAAAGTTCTCTATGATGGTTAGTGTATCGTCATGTTAATTTGGACTACTACAAACATAGGATGCTGGTATCAGTCTTGTAAATAGAACGCTTTAAAGGTTTTCAGACGCCCAAGACATAAAACAAAAAGGTGCTAATAACAATTTACATCTAGCTGGGTGGTTTCTCTGATTCGTCATTATATTTCCTGACACGTTCACGTCTTGTATGTATCAGATATAAATGGTATTAACTGTTCCTATATTCCAGAACTAAGTTGCCCCGACGACTGGTACTACTTCAACAACACCTGCTACCACATCCCCACTACTGCGGCTTCTTCGTATGGAGATGCGGAAAGTTCGTGTAGTGACCAGGGATACACCCTCGTCACACCCCATAGTGCCGTCGACATGGACTTCATCAAGTACACCGTGTAAGACGTTTATGTTTTCACAACGTATATGTATTTAATGTGTCAAAACAAACTGTTGTACATCATTTCTTCACTCAGGCGAAACCTTAGATCAGAAAACAATAGTTCTGTGGTTGCTTGACTTGATATTTCCAGCATTTTAAGAGACCATGCGCACTTGAACTGTAGTAAACGTCTAGCGTTTTACATATGAGGGGATATTGGTTGCCCAGTTGCCTAAAATGACGTGTATGTACCCATAGCAACCACGATCTGCTGATTGTTGGTTCGAAGCCCATACTCGCACAGGTAGGTATGTCTGCACCATCATACGAACTCGTTGATTTTACCAAGGTGGAAAACTTATATCTCGTTATCTCACATTGCGCCAACGTGAGCACATTTAGTGTACTAACAGTTCGATATCCAGTTGACCCACGGACTTGCTCGTATATAGTTAGATACTATCATTAGCTATAAGACTACTAACTAGGAGAACGCATTTCAGTGAAATGTCCGGTGTGGCGGGTTATGCGTACACGGGTCTGATGAAGCCGGCCAACGAGGACTGGAAGTATGCTGATGGTTCCATCCACGACTGGACACATGCAACGGGGGTCGCTGGAGAGATTCTACAGGAGATGTGCTACCTGGTCGGTGCCACTGACGTCAGATTAGCCTCCTGCACAGAGTCAAGACGCTTCGTTTGTCAAGCACCACTGGGTAAAACATCTAAGATCACCATATAGAAGCTGTTGTCAGGCGTATTGCGTTCACGGCAGGTTCTACCGTGCATGGTAGTTTATCCTTTACGTTCAGTGATCCATTTACATGTATATAACTTCCTTTCTGCATTTTACGACCAGTGTAATCTGTGACCAATGCTAGACACTGATTATTCGCTTGCGTTGAGGTTACACCAGAGTTCAATTTTAGTGCATGTCAAACAATTGGAATGTGAATAATATAGGGACCCTTTTTATTTACATAATGTTTTACACAGTCGTGAACTGTTTATTAAACCGTGGGATGCTACAGGGCAATAGGAGACAGTCAGAATGTTAGATTGTTTCGGGAGAGTGACGAGGCACTGTGTTACAGCGATGGTGGGCGTGGCCACGGACTACAGCAACGTCCCGTGTGTGACTGACCGCTTCTGTGAAGCAGCTGGACTCAAGTGTATCGGGTACTCTCGTGGAGGACTCGTGACACCACCAACATGCCGACATCCAGGTAACACAGCTCTGGTCGTTTGTTAAACATACAGGATGTTAGTGATATTATTCAGAACTCCTTCAACTCGGCGGCTCTTATAGTCAGCATACGTAACGCGTAATATATTCTTTACATTTCATAAGACTAAAAGAAGAAGGGAACGATTTAATGTGTTAGGTCGTAGTGTCCAAACAAGGATGCTTGTTGTGAATGACTTTCATGATAAATAAGGATTATTTTGCCTCCATGAATCACTTCGCTCAAAGCACACATGTGAGGAATCGATGTCATGAACCTATGATTACACCACCTGGCCTGCTAGGATCTGTTCAGTGTCGTGTCAAGGCAGACCAGTTGCTGATAGCATGTGTAACTATTCGCATCTCTAAGTAGTCATGACGTACTGCTCTGTGTCCGGCTTGCTGTATTACAAGCCGAAACAGTGTATAAGTGGCCAATGTTTCAGGGTCGATACACCAATTTCAATATTTTTATCCAGATTGCCCTTCTTCGATGAGATATGAGTAGGGGAAGATGTTTCTTGATCTCTGACCGGAAAGACAACTTCGCCGGTGCAACAGCAGAGTGTGGGAAACTTGGCGGGAGAGTGGCATCTATTGGATCAATGGCAGACAACAACGTATGGCTGGAACTATCAGAGAAGTAAGTAGTTGCAACCGTGTTTGGTTCATTTAATGGTAACACCAAATGCACAATGATACCCAAATTGCACCCATGATAACCAAATGATAAAATATCTTTCTCTTTTCTACCCCAGGCAGTTTAATTCAATACAAGAATTCTGGGTTGGCTATGATAGCTACGCCTCAAGTTACAGACTGAAAACTAATGTCTTAGAGAGAGAGTTTACCCACTGGGCGAACCTGCAGCCTGAAGCTGGGAGAGCCTGCACGGCCAGCTCGCGGAGACTGGATGCAGTTGGTGTCTGGAGGAGTGTGGCATGCAATGACAGTTACCTGTATATTTGTGAGCTGGATGTCCACACAAACATGTCTACTAATCAAGGTAGGAAGCACTGCTGATACTGGTATATTGACATTTCTTTAGAGATTCCTCAGCATCAATACAGTGACAACCTAGCAAATGACGACACTTGCAGCTGAATTAAGCTAGTTTTAAGAAACAGCTTAAAGTTAATGAAGCACAGCATCACCATTCTGGCTGATTTAGGCTCTGTCCTGCACAGTATTGATCAAGACCAACACCATTGCTGTTGCTAATTAACGCCATCTTCTGCACAGCATTGATAAAGCCCTACATTGGCTGTGGCTGATTCAGGGTGTGTTCTGCTCCGTGTTGATAAAGCCTTCCACAATAATATGTAATTGTGGTTGATCCTTCTGTGTCGCACAGTGTTGATCAAGCCAATGCTTGGGGGGTGGGGGGAGGGGATGTTTCTATACACAGTAGATCAAACCCTCAGCTCCATCCTGGGTGACTCAGAGTGGGTCAGAGTTGTGGTTATACAGCTGATATGTTTGTCACCATTTGTTCCAGAAAACATTGATATAACTGATTCTGTCAATATAGTGATTCGTGCAATATGCACCATTTGTGAGTGTAGGTTTCTATACCTAGCAGAGATAATCTTAATTTATTAAGTTCTGTTGTGTTGTATCATATCTATAGGGCCTCAACCGTAACACCTTATCGCGATGAAAATCAATGCTCATCATAATTTGCTCATGGTACATCCTACAGGGCCCGGTTGTTCAATACTCGGTTATCTTAACCGTCGGTTAACTCCTAACGGCCGGTTAAATCCTTAACCAGCCGTTAGGTAACCGAACGTTAAATATGCGGTATACAAAACATGGTTAGTCAATTCAATTCAATCTTTATTTCGTACTGAAGAGGCCACAGGCCTTTAGTACATATACATATATATGGTTAGTCATATATGGTTAGTCATGCCGTTAGCTAACGTCGCCGTCAAAGTTTAACAGTGTGGTTAACGTCACTGGTTAGCTTCCATATATCCCACAATTCCGTCTTCTGTTTACTTCCGGATTACCAAAAATGGAATCGCGAAATGTCTTGAAATTGAAATTTCTCTGCTGACGATGAGAATGTAATGCAGTCAATGGTTGAGACCAACTCTATAGTTTATCATAGGCATGCGAATGTCGTAGCGCTACGAACGCTTTGTATTGGAACACAAGGTTCCAGCCGTTTGCATAATTTATATTTCAAAGACATATGATCCCAGCTCTGTGTGGGACTTACTTCAATTCCGACAACAGAAAAGGCATTTTAATGAGAAACTATAGCACAGCTATAGATCAAATATATGATGAATCCATGAAAATACATGTAATATTAATAGTAGAAGCATGTTTTCAGTGGATAGAATATTTACAAATATTACACACAGGAGTTATGCTTACAGTCTTAATGAATCTTGGAATTCCCACAAGACCTATCGCTCACTTTTCACTCCTTAAATTGTCATGACTGTATGGCCAAGTCATTAAGATGCTATCAATATCATTTATTAATTATTTGCCAAGTCTGTCAAAAATTGTAATGTATGAACACACATTACCAAATTTTTTAACATCAAACAATATAGATGTTGTGACAATAATACCATTAGCTTTTATCTGAAATATGCATTCAATGCCAATAGAAACTTAATATGTTACTAGCACCACGTGCAAGTAATCAAACTGTAATTGCACTATAGGCCCCAGGGCCAACACTGCTGAATTTAATCGATCTATTATTCGACCTTACTGTTGACAGGAATCTCACGAATAAGACTGTGCAATATCGTCATTATCTGAACGCCTTCACAGACGCATATTCCGGAAAGATGTCTTGAAAAACATGAAGCTGCGTCTAATTTATAGATGAACATAATTTCCTCGATACTCATTAATCAGATGAACCTTCATTTAGTTCAATTCACAAGTGACTGCAGAAAATGCATAATTCTTTTTAATGACTTCAAGGTCGGAAACATGTATCATATTTCATAAGTGTATTATAGAACGCTGTAGTAGACGAACATAATTTCCTCGATACTCACTCCATTTAGTTCAATTCACAAGTGACTATAGAAAATGCATAGATAGTTCTTTTCACTTTCTTCAAGGACGGAAAACATGTATTATATTTCATAAGTGTATTATAGAACGCTGCAACGATTCGGCAGAGAAATACTATTGTGCCATTGTATTCCTTATATAAAATACATCAGTGTATAACATTAGCATTCAGATATTGTTATAAAATAAGTTTAAAATTCCAAACATTATCGTGTAAAATGACAAGAGATAGTGTTGTGTTCGCTGTGACAAAAGGGTTTCAATATTCAAATATAAAATTTAATCAAAGTGACTACGAAGTAGGCCTGCATATCACTCACAACTCGAAGGCCGGTATTGAGACGCCAATTACATCACATATATTTCATATTCAGCGGCTACAAAATGCATCACTGAATTCTAAGGCTGGGACAGGTACTACGGTACTCGAATCCGGGTCGGGTACAGCAGGAATCGAGTCCTGGAGCATCGATGTGTGCAACTGGGATACGATGACATGTGTCAACCAAGTCAGCGAGTCTGTCCACCCGATCCCATTAGTCACCTCTTACGACAAGCATGGGTTACTGAAGATCAATATTCTAACCCGGAAATCTACGGGTTATTACGTCATTGGTATTGTCCAATTAATGGAGCATAGTTTTAATGACTGTAATTCATCTGTGCATGAGCAGTGAGTAGTTAAGTTACAGTAGCAGCAGGAACGAAACGTTCGTCGTTATAACGAGGAGTGTAAGTAATGGTACCGTGTTACTGTCTATATTGGTTAAACAGACGTAAATTAAATAGCTTGAGATCAGTTTTAATGTCTTATTACCACTTTTTCAAGTTTTCTACAATAATCTCTGTCAAATCGTGTGTGAATATTCAGAAAGTTGACCCGAATATTGTATTTCTTACATTTCCGGGTACTCGATGTCGATTCGGGTAAGTACATGCGGGTACTCGATTCCCTAAGCTTGTTTCCTACTCGTCCCAGCCCTACTGAATTCCTCATACATTTTAGAATCTAATTACAACTGGTCTTTGTCACCAATACCAAGTGTCTAGATAAACTGAAACGAAAGATATTGGAGGTGGAAACATATGCTTTTCTCGAAAGAAAACACCTGTTTGAAATGTAAACAAAGACAATTTCAGACTTTATACTGTGTAGCATTTTCTCAATTTACAGACACCCATTTGCATGGAAAGAGCATAGTAGCAAGAAATAGGAAATTAAGAATAGATGCAATATAGGAATGTAATGTGTTTATACGAAACTGTCAGGTTTCTGTGCAGCGTGACGCCATGACTGATGCAAAATCACGCAGAACGACAACGGTAATAATCGGCATTTCTGGCCGCTTCTTCTCTTTCTTAAAATGAAAACGATAAAAACATGTAACAATACACAGATAGTCAGAATCATTCTGATTACTTACATATCATATTTATGTACAAACGATCCCTGAATCAAGGGAAGGGTCCTCGCAAAACCCATGTCTGCCGCCATTTTTTAAGAAATCTCAACGGTAGTGATGTCATACGTCAACATTGTTGTACATATTTGGCAATTTCTCTGAGGTGAAGGTCGGTAGAATAAGAGTATACACAATCACCATATCCCGCCGATTACACTTTCAGTATCATAATGTAATCATTCGGATATTATTTCATGAAACTAATTTAATCATCTACATTTAGTCTTGTTCAATATCATATCATACGTGGGTATAAGGTGTAAGTGTTTGATTCTTTGAAACTGTTTGTTTGAATAATATTTACAGAAGAAATTCACACATTTACTGTAGTAAAACATATATAAACCTTTACACAAGTGTTAAAAGATGAAACGTAGGCATCATGTTCTTGTACAACATGTAGTTTAGTTCCTATGAAGTGCATAGTTGCAGTTTCGTATGTAACTCTTCGTCAAAATAATTTCCAGTACCGAAGTCCAGTCCACGATACACCTTATCCTTTCTTTGCTGAACTGGCATCATGAAAGCAGTGTTAGCCATGAACGTCATTTGCGAGTTAACCACACTGTTAAAAAGATAGCGGCGGTCCTTAGGTGTGTTAACGTAACGTCACGTTAACAACCTGTTAAAAGTTACCAGAGTTTTGAACAACAAGATAACCCTCTGTTATTAGTTAACAGTTGGTTGAATGTACTTAACGGCTGGTTAAAAAATAACCAAGTTTTGAACAACCGGGCCCAGGAAGCGTGATACACCGTTTTGTCGTCTCTTTCAGCATATTACGAGGGATGTTTTACAGACACCGCCAGTCCTTTCCACCTACGAGTAAATATAAACTGACGTTATCGTCAACGATGGACATAAAGACATGTCGGGATCACTGCCTGAACCTTGGCTTCAGATACGCATCTGCTAAAGTAAGCATGGTGCACATGTACATCTTCATCTTTTGTATTATCTGACCATCATCAATGACTTAAACATTATTATGAAATTAATCCTTACCAATTTAAATCATTAAAAATTTATTAATTGTGTGATGTACTCCTAAGAGAACGATTGATATGATTAAATAATTTTAATAATGACTGATGTGAACTTTCATAGCATATAAACCTCGTACATTGCAGTTGGCAGTTGAATGTACGTGTGGCAACTCCGTGAACATAGGTGCACGCGTACGCGAGAGTTCCTGTAACTTACAATGCAGGGGAGACAACTCAGAAAGTTGCGGTGGGACGAGGTACCACTCCATCTATAGAACATCAGGTAACATTTGGTTTATACTCGGTGCGTCTGGTCAAGACTCTGATATTTACAGGCGCCATCATGCAGTTGAAACAAGCAAAATGCTGTACAGGGTTTAATGATCAACAAGCTAATATAAAAACACGAAATCTTGCTTGTTGCTGTCCATAACTGGCTCCAAATGTCCACACTCTTCACGTCCAGTTTAAGACATCATGACAGCGGTCTAATGATGCTGACAATGGCCCTGGAAGCTGCAGTCACTATGCTATATTATTTATATTTGGTTGTGTCTCCATCTTTCGTGATTCTTTCAGATAATGTATGTAGTGCCACCATGCCCAGAGACCCCTCCGACCCCCTTCGTTGTTACACCACGTCCCTACATCAGCTAGACTGGTATACGGGCCGCTTCTCCTGTGGGCGAAACCGAGGCGATCTCGTCAGCATTCAGAGTGTTGAGAAACAAGCATTCCTAGCTCAGAATGTATACCCAGAGCCAGCAAGGTGAGTCAATATGACGCCAAAAGAGAAGTTGCAGCGTTTCGTTTTGAGAAAGGTGTTTCTTGATGTTTTTAGATATCTGCCAATCTCAGCATTATTCATAAACATATAACTGGAAGTGTTTTGTTAACTTCGGATATGCACAGACGTACGTATATTTATCTTTCTAACATATATCGTTAAGAAGTTAATCCAATGGCTTATGTAAATAGGAGTTGTTCTGTTATTGCCTTGCAAAGTTCGTTGGTTTGGATTTATGTTGTGTTATTTTTCTTACTTATCTGAATACTTAGGAAGATACCCGTTATGCTGTTTTCAGATAGGTCCAAGTGTTACGCTTATAGCAAATATCTTGCCGTGAAAAACGAGTTTCTCAGCTCCTGTTCATTGTTTAAAGTTAATTTATCATACACCATCGACTGGTTGATAATAAAGTATGGTCGGTTCGAGTTTCAAACATCCATTGGACATTGGAAATGCACAGTGTTTGCTTTCAGGGTTCGATTCCAAAATTAGAATGTTCCAGTGATTAACTGGAATATTGTGTGTAACCCTCTGCTCAGTAGATTCGTCTTTCAGGAAGAAGAACTTTGTTCAATTCCCCACAGAGATATAAAATATGAATCCCATTCTTTCCGTCCTTTGCTGCAACTGAGCTCTAAATGCACTCACAAAAAACGCGGAAAATGTTGCAGCAGTTTCACCACTTGAGATGTCACTCACTTTTGTGTTATAAAATAACTGTAGTGGCTATTATGGTAGACATAGGGCGCACCACTGCAAGGGAAACTAACATGCACTTCACCTTTTTCAAGCTTTGCGGAGAAGGTCTCTATAGGGGTGTATCAGCAGAACCACAGTCACTTCAACTACTACGACGTTGACAACAACGTGACAGCCAACTGGAAGTACTTCTTCACGAATTGGAACGGGGTCAGTATTATTCTTACACACAGGTTCACAGGTAGTAGTCACAAGTTCAGCATGTAAATGTAAATAGATCATGTCAGTTTTCTTTAGTACTATGTTCTCGCATTGTCATGTTCACACTATCCCATCTGGTTAAGTTAATAGCCTGATGGTGTCACATTGTTATGTTCAAACTTTTCCATCTGGTTCTGTGAATAGCGAACAGCCTGATGGTGTCACATTGTGATGTTCCAACTTTTCCATCTGGCTCTGTGAACAGCCTGATGGTGTCACATTGTGATGTTCACACTATCCCATCTGGTTCACTTAATAGGCTGATGGTGTTACACTGTGATGTTCACACTATCCCATCTGGTTCACTTAATAGCCTGATGGTGTCACATCGTGATGTTCACACTATCCCATCTGGTTCAGCTAATAGCCTGATGGTGTCACATCGTGATGTTCACACTATCCCATCTGGTTCACTTAATAGGCTGATGGTGTCACATCCTGATGGTGTACATTGACTCACACTATCCCATCTGGTTCAGCTTAATAGCCTGATGGTGTCACATCGTGATGCCTGATGGTGTCACTATCCTATCTGGTTCACTTAATAGCCTGACTTAATTCAGCCTGTCACATGGTTCACACTATCCCATCTGGTTCCTTAATAGCCTGATGGTGCCACATCGTGATGTTCACACTATCCCATCTGGTTCCTTAATAGCCTGATGGTGTCACATCGTGATGTTCACACTATTCTATCTGGTTCCTAATAGCCTGATGGTGTCACATTGTGATGTTCACACTATCCATCATCTGGTTCACTTAATAGCCTGATGGTGTGCCACATCACACTATGATCTGGTTCACTATCACCATCTGATGTTCACACTATCCCATCTGGTTAATAATGGCCTGATGGTGTCACACTGTGATGATGTTCACACTATCCCATCTGGTTCACTTAATAGCCTGATGGTGTCACATTGTGATGTTCACACTATCCCATCTGGTTGGCCTGATGTCACACTGTGATGTCACACTATCCCATCTGGTTCACTTGATGCCTGATGGTGTCACACATCACACTATCCCATCACTTAATAGCCTGATGGTGTCACACTGTGATGTTCACACTATCCCATCTGGTTCACTTAATAGCCTGATGGTGTCACACTGTGATGTTCACACTATCCCATCTGGTTCACTTAATAGCCTGATGGTGTCACACTGTGATGTTCACACTCACACTATCCATCTGGTTCACTTAATAGCCTGATGGTGTCACACTGTGATGTTCACACTATCCCATCTGGTTCACTTAATAGCCTGATGGTGTCACATTGTGATGTTCACACTATCCCATCTGGTTCACTTAATAGCCTGATGGTGTCACACTGTGATGTTCACACTATCCCATCTGGTTCACTTAATAGCCTGATGGTGTCACAGTGTGATGTTCACACTATCCCATCTGGTTCACTTAATAGCCTGATGTGTGATGTTCACACTATCCCATCTGGTTCACTTAATAGCCTGATGGTGTCAACATAATTTGTGATCTTCACACTATCCCATCTGGTTCACTTAATAGCCTGATGGTGTCACACTGTGATGTTCACACTATCCCATCTGGTTCACTTAATCTGGTTCACTCACTAGCCTGATGGTGTCAAAATAATTTGTGATGTTCACACTATCCCATCTGGTTCACTTAATAGCCTGATGGTGTCACACTGTGATGTTCACATATCCCACTTAACAGCCTGGTGTCCACTGTGATGTTCACACTATCCCATCTGGTTCACTTAATAGCCTGATGGTGTCACACTGTGATGTTCACACTATCCCATCTGGTTCACTTAACAGCCTGATGGTGTCACACTGTGATGTTCACACTATCCCATCTGGTTCAGCCTGATGGTGTCACAATAGCCTGATGGTGTCACACTGTGATGTTCACACTATCCCATCTGGTTCACTTAATAGCCTGATGGTGTCACACTGTGATGTTCACACTATCCCATCTGGTTCACTTAATAGCCTGATGGTGTCACATTGTGATGTTCACACTATCCCATCTGGTTCACTTAATAGCCTGATGGTGTCACACTGTGATGTTCACACGTTCACACTATCCCATCTGGTTCACTATAATGGCCTGATGCCTGATGTGTCACACTGTGATGTTCACACTATCCCATCTGGTTCACTTAATAGCCTGATGGTGTCAACATAATTTGTGATCTTCACACTATCCCATCTGGTTCACTTAATAGCCTGATGGTGTCACACTGTGATGTTCACACTATCCCATCTGGTTCACTTAATAGCCTGATGGTGGCAAAATAATTTGTGATGTTCACACTATCCCATCTGGTTCACTTAATAGCCTGATGCTGTCACACTGTGATGTTCACACTATCCCATCTGGTTCACTTAATAGCCTGATGGTGTCACATCTGTGATGTTCACACTATCCCATCTGGTTCACTTAATAGCCTGATGGTGTCACATCGTGATGTTCACACTATCCCATCTGGTTCATAATAGCCTGATCATCGTGATGTTCACACTATCCCATCTGGTTCACTTAATAGCCTGATGGTGCCACATCGTGATGTTCACACTATCCCATCTGGTTCACTTAATAGCCTGATGGTGTCACACTGTGATGTTCACACTATTCCATCTGGTTCACTTAATAGCCTGATGGTGTCACACTGTGATGTTTTGGATACATTCGTTCATTGAAGATACTGTTTATATGCAACATCCAACAAGATTGTTGTGTTATTGTGGAAACTATTGAGACAACGCAATGCATTTTCCACAGTGAAATCATATGTGTGGAAATGATTAAATGAGTCGTATTCGCAATAAGGCTGAACTAAAGCTAAACGATTCATAACTCTAACTATGGTTGATTGGCGTCTGCGAAGAATGATCATCGTCGTGTATTCTAATTTAAATTCTAATTTATTCACTGACAGTTATATATTTCATATATGTTTCTGCAGAATAACGGGGGTGATTTGGACTGTGCCATGAGCGATGTCCACACGGGAGAATGGATTCATGGGAAGTGTGGCACTGCCAGCATCAAGAGCAACTTTGTGTGTGAATATAAACAGAAACGCCGCACAGTAACAGGTGGGTCTCGAGTTGACGTAGTTTTTATTACGGAAGCCACCCGTCTAACAAGTTATGACTATCCACATGCCACAATGAACAGTTCTTTCTGAAAATCTAACTGATACGTTGTTAATGGGAACAGTTGTGATATTTTGTCGTATAATGGTAGGTCGCTCGTCTTTCCTAACATTTACATACCCTAATTGAGCTTTAACACGTCACAGTCTGTTTAAGAGAATATGTACCCAGCAACGTAAAATCCTCTTACTAGTCGAATCATGGATCGGGTGGTAAGCCTCGGTGAGATGGGTGGTTGCTTGTCATCGCAATTAAATTGGATGGAGAGATGTTTATGCTGTCAATCACCAGTTTATCTGATCTAGAATTGACTTTAACATTTAGTTGAATGTACGTGTGACTTGCCGTGAGTCACTCAGGATGGGAGACAGGACAGGTTTCTTAAGTAATATCTCTCTCTCTCTCTCTCTCTCTCTCTCTCTCTCTCTCTCTCTCTCTCTCTCTCTCTCTCTCTCTCACACACACACACACACACACACACACACACACACACACACGATGAATGCAAATAATTATCTCTATTGACTATGTCGGTAGGGAATATCTGGAGGAGACTTGAGACAGCGTTAGAAAAACCATCCACCAGTGTCACCACAAATGCCGTTGTTAATAGAAACGACATAGCGTTCAGCCATGACACAAAGCTATATGCTGACGACCTTGACCTCGGATGTCTGAACAACCATGAACTTTGTCCCAATGGATTCACGTTCGTATTCTGGATATTCATCGACTCTCAAGCTACTTCAGATATGGAAATACTGTCAACAGGGAGTTGTGTGTCGCAGTTTGCTGTGGGTGTAGGTGTATGTGTCTACTATGCAGCAGCATCCAATAACATCGTCATCAATGATGCCACCAATACGACTTTCAACAGGGTAGCTAGGCTGACAGTCGGTAAGGGTTCCTGGCACCACGTGGCCCTTGTGTTTGATGGAGGTACCACGATGTATACCCACCTGGATGGTGGACGTGCTAACGAGTTTACTGTTGATACGTCACTGACAACGACTCTCACAAGCACGTTGATCTATGAACAAACGCTCTTTGGTAACTGGCATGATGTCAGTGCAGCTAACGACAGCTTCAAGCTTTACGACGTCCGCTTTAAGCCACAGAAGATGATGTGGAAAGAGATCAACGGTTTATACGGTAAGTGTGCTATGTGCTACCTCCAGCTGTGTGCTAAGTGAAGGGTATATTTTACCCTGATGTACTATAAAAATTAAATGTTTCTACTTATTGAAATATCTTGTTTCATCACGAAATGGTTGTCACAACTGAGATTGTTTGGAATGTTCCCTTTCTTGATCAGCAAAACTGGCTTTGCTGCTCTCAACTCACAACTGGTATGATCGTGAAGGTTTTATTAATAATCCAGCGATGTCATAAAGGAAAACCACAGTAACAACAGGTCAGAATGGTTTGACGTGGTAGCGCTAAGAATGACCGATGTCCATTCTACTGACTAATGACCAGATGACACCTACCCGAGTAAGCAATACCCAAAATACAACAGCTCAATGATTCTCCCACTCTTCTCACTTGTAGATGCTATGATAATCGGCTGTTAAACTTGAATTATATACTTACAGGCGGTCTCAAACCAACGACTGGCTCCGTTCACTGGCTGCAGGATGACACCAGTACTGTCAGGAAAAGAAGACATATCCAGATCCAGGAGTTGATGGCAGGGGGTTGAGGTTCAACCAGCATGGCTCGGTAGCTTTCCTCTCTGACAAAAACACTTGCGCAGACAAACTGCATCGCTGTACGGGGGCATTTACTTACACCTTTTGGGTTAAGGTAGGCATCCCTTCTCCCAAACCAATGACTATCCTCACTGTTGGAGATGTTCCTGGTGGAAAGCAAGGCCTGAAGGTGACTGTGGAAATTGACACTTTGCACGTCAGTTTGGTTGTAAGTGCAGGAATGTATTCAGCTATTGTCAATTCGGTCAGCTCTGGAAAATGGCAACACATAACGGTGACGTTTGACACGTCATTGGGCCTATCTGTGTTTCAAGACGGAGTCTTAGCTGTAACGGCAATGAGTTCCGGAAGTGGTGTCGGTGCTGCAGCTGCTCAGTCGTCATTGGCCATAGGACAAGGTGAGCTATCACAAAGGGCCATAACTTTTCAACGTAGTGTAACAAAATCCGACCAGTGGCACTTGGCCGTCATTCAACTTACGTCCATTGCCAGCTCGCGTATTTTCCCTAAGACATTATACAATCCAAAGATATATTATCAAATATTGATCATACTGAACTTGTGTATGTTAGATAATGAATTTTTAATTTTTAAAAATATTTTTATTCATTTCAGTGAAGCATACAAAATGGCATATGAATATGATTTGATGAAACAATAGACAAGCATGACATATGCATCGAGTACTAAGAAGGTGTAGTCCCGAACCCGACACATGTTACATGTTAGATCATGAATAAATACAGTTTCATTCAAGACTAAATGTATAAACGTGATTCCAGCTGTGTGTCCCATGGACTGGCTTCAGGCCGGGTGGTCCTGCTACTATCTGAACCGATCTGGTGGCCTCTTCTGGACTGATGTTCGAGTGTCGAAGGATGCCGGGGCTCATCATGTGCACATAGATTCAGATGAAGAGTACCAATTTGTGCAGGACTTGATGATGGAAAACGGGTAATATGCCCAAGTCATGTATCATGGAACGGTTTAAATATCATGTTTACTCAAATTCATTAATCAAGTTGTTACGTTTTGTTCATGTTAAGGTTTTGCCTTCTCTCTAAATTTCAGAATAGAATTCATAAAGTCAAATCAGTGACTGGAGATCACAATAGTATATTTACAAGGGATCTTGAATATTAAAAGCAACTTTTCCTTTTGAACAGAATTTCACAGTTACTATTGGGTTACCACGAAGAAAGGCCTGATACCCAGCGTTTTGTACGTGTGCCCGGTGGGTACGAGACATACATGACAGACAGTCTCGGCGGGGGTGGAGGGGAGTACCGGAGACTTGTGTGCAGTGGATCAGCCTGCACGGTGGCAAGCTGGGGCGGAACCTCCATTCCCACACTGTATGAGATGGAGCTAACCCAAACAGGCACGTGTTCGCCTTTCATAATAATCATCATCATCGTCAAAATAGTGATAATGTTCAATGTGTACAACATGTCAGGGTGCTGTCATAACACAATCGGTAAACGTGGCATTGTAGAAGACGGAGGATTAGTCACTTTGAAGACGGATTCAGATAGTCTTATACGTCAATAAGGATGCCGTTTAGGAGACGAACTCCAGAATGTCCATATAAAGTACACAATGTATTGATGCAGACTGAAGAAAATCTAGAGTTTAGAAATAAACGGTCGCCATAAAGATAATGCAGCAAATACTACTGCTGTGCCTGTCGTTTAGCATTGTATTCATTTGGACGGTGCGTGAAATTCAGAGTACTGATACCCGATAACCTCACACAAAGAGTCATGTCAGACAACAGATCGCACCACCCTTGATCTCTCATAGATTCTGATTATTTTGAGAGGGCATTGTTTGATTAATGCGGCTTGATTATTCTGCCTGCAGAGTTCCCTGCAGCCAATGTGTGTCCTGTCAACTGGAAGTATTTCCACGGATCCTGCTATAAACACATGGGGCTTGACAAAGTCAGTGCGGTGACTGCCCAGGAGAAGTGTGCCGAGGTCTGGGCCTATCCTGTGGAAGTGGACTCACAAGAAGAACTCAGATTTGTGGCTAATCTGACATACAGGTAAACTTCTGAAATAGGCCAAGAGATGTCAGTGGACATTGATTTCGTTGGGGTTATTTATCGAAAGGCGCAAACCTCGCAGAATTCACAGGACTAAATCGACAGGGTGACAGGCTTAAATTACTGGACAAGAGTTACAGGCTGAAAGGCTTAGACACACAAGACAACATAGACAGATTGACAGGCTTAAAACATACAGGTGTAAATCGACAGGTTGAATACACAGGACTAAATCGACAGGTTGACAGGCTTAAAACACACAGGCACTCATTCTCAGTTAACTGGGACAATTGCTGTCGCCGACATTTTAGCTGTCGGTGCTTTCAAAGTTGATAATAAATCGATGTTTATCTGTGCAGATATTCTAAATAACATTGTTTACAATCAGTATCAACCTTCAAAAGGATTGCACTAAGTCATATTGCAGCATCAGAAGCAAATATTTGGTTCAACACGTCACAATTTAATTCTGGACTCACAAAAGTCCAGAAACTCTCCGCACTGTGGGCACTTTCTGACAAGGGATTTGACCGAATGGAACATGAAGTTGTGAGTCCAGAATTAAATTGTGACGTGTTGTTCCATGACGACATATTTGCTATGTCGGTAGTGCGTATTTTTACATTTAAGCTTGCTGCAAAATTTGATTCAACGGAAGTTTTGTTATCTTTAGTGTCATGAAAGAACCAAAATACATACGGGTTAAGTCGCTTATGTTGGCATGTCTATGGCTCACCAACCAAAACCCAAAACTGACGTGTAGATTATGTCGGAAAAGTCAGAGTAATTTACATTTACGTTTGTTTACAGCTTTTGTGGTAACTCATCGCACAGACCTACAAGATATTTTCTGGATTGGCCTGTTCATCTTTTCTAGATATTTAAAACATATAGTTTCGTTAACATTGAATTTTCTTACAATATGGAAAAATACGCTCGACATCAGTAGAGATTTTTTAAGCAAGTAATCATACGTTACCGTTATACCCCAAAATCAAGTATCCCAGTAATAGTCTTCATCACGATACATATGGGGCCCGGCGGTCTGTTACACATGTGCCCCAACCAAGCATTCTGTATTAAAACACACAGGACAAGACTTACAAATCTCAAGGCTTAGAATACACAGGACAATATCGGTATAATCGAATGGTTCATGCATATATAATGTTTACTTGTAGTAGAAATGAAAGAAATGTATCTGTATGTAGAAGTACGTAACGTCCTGAGCTGTCCTGTCTTCATTGATACTGGTTTACACGGCTCCTCGTTGATCACTAATCCCATAAACTGTCAGGTATCATTATTCATGCATATAATTAGCTACCCAATGGGAGTAGGAGCTGACTGATATCGAGATATGGTTACAATATGGCGTGCATCGACTTTTTTCACAATTTGCCCGGAGTATTTTACGTGGGTTTCAGAGATACAGTTGGTATTATTGCCAACTGTGTTAAACAAGATTCATTCATTAACCATGTTTCACATCATATGTAACGTCGGTCTGTTGTATTTATCTGAAATAGCTTACAACAAATACACATGTATTTTGTCACACACATCTTACAAACCAAGTGTGTTTCCAGGTCCCACAACACAGAGTCGACAATAGTAGGTATGTCGTATGAGAACATGGCTGACGGAAGGGGGATGCATGTTAACCGGAACTGGAGGGCCCCGGGGTGGGACAGCTGGACCTATCGGCCACTGACCAGTAATCAGTGTGTCCAGCTGAAATGTTCCAGTGGCGGGTGTTACTATGACGACATCTCTTGCACAGCGGATAAAACCTACTACATCTGTGAAAGAAGTGCAGGTAACTTTGCGTGCGTGTACGTGTGTGATGTGTGTGCGTGCGCATGTTTCTTTAAAGCGGCCGTGATTGGAGAGTCTTGTGTTTGCATGATGTACCTTGCTGGCGACATCATATTAAAGGAAGAACTTTCATTACTCAACGACTTCCTGATGTATTCATCGTAGATGTAACTGTTTATGTTTCTAATATTTGCACAAGCAGCAAACCCTGTTCTCTATGAGATCGATCTTGACAGACGACCTTTTCTAACAGGTACGCAGTGTGGGCCCGGCTGGGTACAGTCGGGGGGAGCCTGCTACTACAAGCATGTCGTGTCCAATGGCAACGCCGCCACTGACCACTGCCAACAGGCAGGCTATACTGCAGTGGTCATCAAGAACGTCACCCACATGGAGAGGCTTATACACGACCTTGACATTGGTTAGTAATGGCTATAAGAGCTGTAAGAGCTACAGAAGTGCTATATTAGTAGCTGCATATGAAGATGAATCCAAATTGTTGTATTTTTATGATCGATATCATATACGACCATAAGTCTTAAAAGATTTCTAATAAAGATGTGTTTGTTGGATGTTTAACACTATTCCCCCTCTAGCAGTACAATATGTCTGCTTCTAAACTATTCAGTTACTTATGTATACCTCTGAGACAGACTAACACACCTTGTTACAGTTTGAATTTAGCATTATAATGAAATACTATGAGGTGAGAGATATTACTTATCTGTTCACCAAGGAAATCGTTAATGGCATGATCCGATTGCTCATTTGAAAAATGAAAATTATAAATTGCCATGATGAATTTGAACAGATTCTTAGCTTGATGCTATGTCTTGCAGGAGAGCGGAAATGTCTGACTGGTGCCACGTTGTCCGGCGGCAGGTACACCTGGGGCGCGGGCGGAGATAGAACCTTCTTTGATAAAGACATGGTTACAAAGTCTGCAGCCTGTATCGTCGTGTCTGGTGACACTGCCATGTATGGTGTGAGTCCGCTGTGTGCTACAGACTGTATCATATGTCAACAAGGTTAGTAACTCGTGAAATAGCAAATCAATTTTAATTGAGACTATAGCAAACATGTTATACTGCGTTCATATACGAAGCGTTAAAACTGACATAAATACAAATCTACTGTTCATTTTGTTGCCCTAATTGGAAGGGTATCATCAAGAACAGTCAAAATAAATGTTTGCTTGATTTTCATGTATGACAAAATAACGTTACTTCATTGCAGAACTCCAGGCAGATTTTTCTGTTGACAATGTTCATTTCTATGAACGAGTTCTATCATCAGCTGAAATCAGCAATCTCTCACGGGAAGGTACGTGACATTTAACTAAGCAGTAGAATGATTTACTCAATCTGAAATGAGGGAACAAAGGGTTAATAGATATCTTTACTGTTAAGCGTGTTTTGACGCGATGAAGACATCCAAAAATAAATCGCTGTGTCCACATGAAACTCTACTGCCATAAGTGATCTTTTAGAGGATAATTTACCATTCTACCAATTCTCCTTGTAGAGAAACGAGTTTGTAAAAGTTGTCTAAATCACAAGAACTTCCATTACAGAGGGTCTTGTAGAGCGTCAGCTGAGTTGTCCAATGAGCCCAGAGAACATCATATCATCGACATCCATCAGTTGCAATGTCACAGACGGAAGTACTGTGACTCCAATCACCATGGTGACTAGTGAATCGAAAATAGTACCAGACTCACTTGGAAGACAGTCTGTATCACTTGGAGATGGCGCCACGTGGACCAACCCGGGCGCATTTGGTATTGCTGGATCGAGACCCGGGATAACGTGTGCATTCTGGGTCTATGTGTACTCTGACACAGTGTCGGTGTTGTTTGATTCTAACACAAGCAAACCTAATGGGCTGACGGTCACATATGCAAAGAGGTAGGTGCCTGTTGAGCAGTTACGGTTACATAACTGAATGTCAAGAGGAAAGACTTTGACTTTTTATTGTACGTTTTGTGTCATATTACATTCTCTTAATTGATAAAAACAACTTGAACATTAACAACAATCAGTCGTACAAAGCAAAGTATTTTTGTTGATTATTTATATATTTGCAGTGATATGCATTGAAGTATTGCCATATCAGAAATATGTTGAATGTGTCCTTACAGAATCCTGACTGTCCACGCAACAGAACCTAACTTCGAATGGTCCACGTGGACGTTCTTCCCTATCCAAGACTGGACACATGTTGCTGTGACGTGGCAGGAGACGTTAGGGCTGTTTCTGTATGTTAATGCCGAGTTGATGTCCAGCAACACAACAGGGATGCCCCGGCAAGGTTATCTGACTCAGATCAACAGCCCTAGTCAACTACTACTGGCACGCCACGTGAATGGCACAACAGCATTGATGAAACATCTGGTCGTTTCCAAGCCGGTTTGGTCACAGGAAAATATTGAAAAGACATATGGTATGTTAGAATCCGGAGAAAATATCGTAATTTTTCAATGTCAATTACTCATAAAATAATGTTATTTTTGCTGTGGGAGTCCAGTAGTTAAAGTGTAAGTGCGTTGCGCCAAGTTCCATTGACTACATGGATCAAATGGGTGAATCAGTCTTTGTGATCCTTGTTATGAAAAGTCTAGATTCGTTTGCAACTCAACATGAGGAATTAGGTTCAATAAATTTATTTTAAACACAGAAGTATGTTAATAATAATATGCATTGTGAATTTAACTAATGGTCACACACAGCACAGCAGCAGAGAGTCATGTTTGTGTTCATATAATACCCAAAGGTTTTCTTCACAAAAATGCTGTTGGTGATTGAAGTTTGGAGGTTATGTTATTGTGTTTGTGTCATCACTGTCTACATTTGAGTTGTGTACCACCTTCAATCAACAACTGTTATCTTCTGTGCAGATGCCGCAAGCATACGATACAGTTTAGCATTTGACGAGGACTACAGGGACAACTTGGACAACCTGCCGATCATACGGAACAAAACGTTGACGTCACTAGTGTGGAGAAACTCCTTCTTCTACAGCGCCTTGCATGTCAACAACACCAACAGTATTGAGGCCGTCCCAGCCGCCGTGTCAACAGGCCAGATGAGGAACTGCTTCACCAGGATAGGTACGTCATGGGAAACTAGAAATCAGGGTCAAGGTCGTACAGTTCTCGATTTGTGGACATCTACTGTCTCAAACACCAGCAAGTAAGAGAGATAACCTCTCTTATAAGACGATCTAAACGAATGACTGTATGCAAAATTTGGTCTGTTTTAAATGGTAAGTAATGTTTTCGCTATGTTATAATATATGTTAACAAACTATGATGCATTGATGACACGTGAACGTATGTGCGTTATGATTCCACAACTTGCTCTGGTCACCTGCTACCTGGTCAAGTTAATAAATGCATATGCTACATTGAACAGAAATACATACAGAAAACATTTACTGTTCAACATTGTGTTTATGTTTCAGAGTCATGTAAGGGGCCGATGACATTATCCTTCTGGCTACGACCCATCGCCTTCAAGAGTCCGCAAACTTACATCACTGCATACACTCCTTCAACCATGCATGGGAACAGAATTGTCTCAATGAACGTGTCCTACGACAACAACAAAGATGTCTTCCACTTCCAACTCCACCGCAGCAAACTTGAGTACGACTTCACATTCTCCATGGACTTCCTGCAGTGGTCCCACCTTCTGGTTAGTCTTGGTGACGACTGCCACCTGTTGGTGAATGGAGAGACGATAGACAACTTGACGACTTCGCACCTCCCGACTTACATAGATCCAGTCCAGCCCTTCTCGTATCTGGAGATAGGAACACATGGCGTGTTTGACATAGATGATCTACAGTTCTTTGGTGTTGTGAAGCAGCCTTGGGAACTCTATAGTAAGGACCACTGACCTGGAAAACATTGATCCATAAACATTTGTAATAAACAACGCACCATTGAACAATATGTGAATATTTTTGTGAGACGTTTCTGTATATCTATGTAGATTAATAACGGCATAAACAGACACAATGTTATTAAAATGGATCCATCTGCTCAGTGTGTAAAAAGAGTTTGTGTTATATAAACGTAAACATGTTTTATAGATAACGTGAAAGACACTACTTACATCATTCTTGTTGCAGCATTGAGGTCCTGCAAGGAATATCATTTAGCTGGTTTCCGCGGCCGTCGACGGTTACAAGTCAGTGTTGACAACGTGGATGTCAGTAACGTCATATGTGTGTTAAATGACACTGGTGAGAACAGTAGTGAATTACTAATGATATATGAGAGTAGACTAGTTTATAGACATGACGTATTTTCGGTTACTTGTCTATTTGATGCTAATCCCTGTTAATAGTGCTTGAAGATATACGATCAGGGTTTCACTAAGTTGGCATAACTTGTACCCAATCCATTCTCTTGAATAAATATGTTTAAATCAAATCAAATCATTCTCAAAACCAGAGTTAAATTATTTCTTTTATACATATATATTCACGCTTTTAGCATGAATGGTAGGAAATATATTATCATTTTGTAACGTATTATACAGAATATTAGTTAATCCTGAGTTTGATTTCCATGTTTTCAACTTGAACAGGGGGCTAACATATTGTACGTATTCTCAACTGAAGCAGTGTCTGTTGAACAATTCCAACAATCAGACGGGCATATATTATATATCCCTATCAAATGATGATCGCGAAAAAGTTTAAATATGATACAAGGGTTAAACATGACAAGAAAACGCTTACTGTTCTTAACCGGTTGTTGCTAATGTTTTAAAGTTTAATGTTTCTGGTCTTTCAAAAAACATATACTAGCATCAAGTATTGGTGTTTCAAAAAAAATACTAGCATCAAGTATGCTGTGCAAACCTAACAGTTCTTATCAACATTACACAGAGAGCCTAACTGTCGTGGTTCATGACAAGGTAGACAATGAGACACTGTCTGGCACGTCTACCACAGTGCTGACATACAACGCATCAACGTCATACCTACAGTCACTGCGAGACGAGTCCCAGCAGTGCAGACAGTACGTGGCCTACTACTGTCTTCATACAGGTAAGGGCCATACTCTAGAGTATTAAAACACCATGATTTGATCATTAAACTCCTACAAGAAACAGATAATAATTATCATCAAGAGATGTCAACGAGCAGAGCTGCGTCCATTAATAGTAATCATGGATTCGAATCCCAGAGACCCTGGGTTTATCAGAACCATATTCACCAAACTACTAAATCTCTAAAGAGATGCTGTTCAAAGCAGTTAACCGTCGCACTTACCCATTAACTATTATTATGTTCACAATAATATGATTACGTATATGGTACATTGTACATTGCAACTGGTACCAAAAAATTTAAAAAATTTGATCTGTCTGAACCGGTGATGAGGTTGCTGAAATGTCGCCCGATTTAGATAGAATTATGCATTATGCAGGGCTTCGCCAGTCTAAGCAAAGCGGTTTACGAAACATTTGAAGTATTAGATGTATTTTTGTATGCAGATGTAACAGTCACAGATTGAATCAAATATGGTAATGTGGCAATCCCATACATGTACTGAAGGAACTTAACATGAGTTGACGGAAGTCGCAAGTTGTTTTGCAGTTCTTAGAGTACGACGTTCTATTTCCAATCCGCCCAGCAAGGGGAATACATGTCGTGTATCCTAAACTTGAGAAGCGTGCAGTGTACTGCATAAACGATTCCTATGTCCGCTGCTTCGATCTTTAGCAGTGCTTCATCTATAACATTTATTTCAAGGATATTTTGGTTACGCATTCGTAGGTTTATTTGGAAACCCCGGTGGTCCGGCCACTACCTGGAGATCGCTGGACAATACTAACCACTCCTACTGGGCAGGGGGAGATTCTACAGTCCCACACTCCTGCTCCTGCTCTGTCAGTGCATCCTGCCACAACGGTGCTCTTTGCAAGTAAGTCATTATAAAGTGGCACTTATACAGTTTAGTTGTCAGTGCATTCCAATTAAAGTATTATTGGTGGTAGGATGCAACCTTTGAATTATACCCTTCATTACACAAGCCACCTCGTAAAAATACTTTTAAGTATCTATATTAACTGCTACAATTAGTATTACATTGGTTTTAGATGCACCGTTTAGGAAAAGGGCTGTTGGTAGCTGGGTAACAAGTCAGCTTGTCACTCGAGACCCAAGGGAGATACAAAATTAAAATAACCATCCGTTGTTTAATTACAGGAGTGCCATGAAAACTACGTGAGACGCTAATCACTCGTTCATAAACATACACAAGTCTGTTAGTGCCTTCACATTATGTATAGTGTTGAATGTACCTTCTCCAACAGCTGTGACGCTGGGGCCACTGACGACATGACCAGGGTAGATGCCGGCGAGCTCCGAGAGAGGCAGCACCTGCCTGTTACATCCATCACGGTCCATACACTCGTTGCCGGATCGGCAAGTCTGTATGTTGGCGACATAGTCTGTGCTTCTCTTGGTGAGTCCTTCTTCAATGTGGACAGCTTAGATATCCAATGACAGGTCTGGTTTAGTGGCTCAGACATTCCCATTACAAGTGTAGCTATAAAATATATTTTAGACTCTATGATATCTATGCCAGCTACAGAAAACATCTCGAGGGTTGGTGATTCAGATGATTTATGTTTTATACTAAGCTTATCATTAATGTAACGCCGAAAAGACATACATGTACATAGTATTGAAATTAACATAATATCTGATTTGTAGGAGTATAACGTGAACTTCTAACTCGATATATGTGAATGTGGCAGGTTACGATGGGGTTGTTCTGACCATGGAGGAGGGTGATGAACAGAACTCAACAGATGATGGCATATACTTTGACTTCAAACCATATGGAACACACGGATATGAAAATGGTCTCAATGGTTTAGCATTAAGCTTAAACAAAACAGGGTTCACCCTCAAAGGAGTCAACTCGATCTGCTTCAAAGACATCTCGTACTGCACGTTTGGTGTCTCAGTCACCCTGTGGATGTCCATCGACAACATCCCAACCACAACAGGTAAACTCCAAGTGGTACAGCTAGGTGGGAACCCTGAGGCCAACATCTCTGGGCTGAGCTTCAGTTGTGAGGCTATCTCAGACATTTCCGATCGTGTGTTGTGTGTAGTTGCAGCAGCAGGAGAAACGTCTCGGTGGATGTTACAGTTCCCTGTCCAGATCAGTCGCTGGATACACGTGTCTATCAGCTGGAACCCGCAGCAGGGACTAAACGTGTACCTGAATGGTCATGACATACATGGATTAGGGGTCAATGCGACTGTCATGTACAATCAGACCATAGGGAAGCTTTCCGTTCAGGAGGATCTGGGGATAGGATACACAGCTGGCTCTGATAGTGTTGGAGTGTGGAGGCTGGATGACATTTGGCTCGTGGAAAGGGATATCTCTGTCAGTGAGAGCAGAGTCAATTATGGTAAGTAATGCTAGTACTTAGTACTACACAGCAATAGTGATTTTATATATGCTAAGAGTGAGTGAGTCAGTTTAGTTTTACTAAGCAATATTCCAGCTATATGGGGCGGTCTGTAAATAATCGAGTCTGGTCCAGACAATCCAGTGATCAACAGCATGAGGATCGATCTGCGAAATTCGGAACCGATGACATGTGTAAACCAGGTCAGCGAGCCTGACCACCCGATCCGTTAGTCGCCTCTTACGACAAGCATGGGTTACTGAAGATCAATATTCTAACCCGGATCTTCACGGGTTATATATGCTAAGAACTACTAGGTCGTAGTTAGAGGATTCATGGCTATTATGATTATTTGATCTTTGATCTGCATTCTATAAGTTGGTGAGTCAATAATTAAGCATACGACTTTATCGATAACAACTTCTTCTTTATTGCATAGAGGGCGTTTCTTACAGCGTTGTTTAGCTAAAGACAGGAAGTTGTTATCCGTCAAGCCGTATGCTTTATTCTTGATATTATGATTATAAAGTTACAGAAAACATGCCATTTGAACTCATTTCGTAAATATTAATGAAACTGCTTCCTTTCAACAGGTCATATGTCGGTGTGTGGTGATGGCTGGATATACAATAATGTAACGAGCCTGTGTTACAACATGACAGCCAGCGCCACCTACTGGTCACAGTTAGAAGCAGAGATCCAATGCAACAGTAAAGGAGGGACTCTTGTTGTGGAACAAGATGCTGCCGTGCATGGGTGGCTCGTTGACAATGTTCTTAGTCCAAGTAAGTTGAGAATATAAAAAGAACTATTTTAAATTTCCAATTTTAAGCACCTTTATGAAAGTAACTATATTATGTCTAAATATTATATCTATTCTTCAGGTGGTCTCGAGACAGGTGTCCACATTGGGTTGTCAAAGACTGGAAACGATGGGTCGTACAGATGGTCCGATGGAACCAGAGCTGCCCATCTCCCAGACAGCATGGAGGAACCTGCTGCTGCCTTCTGTGTGATGCTGGAGCAGGTGACCTGGAGATATGTTGCTGTAGACTGTGGCCATCACTTAGCGGCGCTCTGTCAACGATCTCCTTTCAGTAAGGGTGTTGTGTGTTATGGCACAAATATACCGTTGCATAATTCAAACTGGATTAGTCTGTATGCAATATCATTCTATACATGTGGTTGGTTAACACTTGGTTTTGTATTATTTCTCCTGGGTGTTAAAGGTCATTATTGTGTATCATTATTGACATGAAAAATGTTTTGATAGTGAAGACTGTAGTTGAAGATTACTATGTCAATCAACATTCTGTTGTTTTCAGGGATTCCCAATAAAGAAGCATTCCTCGGCAAAGACAATCCGACTTTCAACTATACCACCTTGCCAACACCCGACACGGATAATACAGATGGCATTATTGGGACTACCACCAATTTCTCACTGAACTATGCTGTTGCACACTACACTGATGAGTGTCTGAACAACTTCAGATTCTGCCACAATGGCTGGTCCCTGTCAGCCTGGCTTAATCTTGTACCAGTCCTCAACTCATCCAGTCGGGAGGTCGTGTTATCCACCCAGCAAAACGGCAGCAGTCATGGCATTACCATATATGGGCAGAATGAAGGAGACTATTACTTTATGAACGTAGCTGTCCGCGACTGTGAAAATCTAACAAGCACAAGATTTGAAATAAGCACCTACTCCTGGATACATATGTACATATCCGTCACCAACAGCTCGGATATATATGTGTCTTTCAACGGTCAAAACAATACCTATATTGAAAATACAAGAGTTCATGAATCATGTACGCCTCCGGAGATCGGAACCATTGTGCCATTATCCATTGGTGCTAATCCTTTGGGTGGAGAACAGATTAATGGTAGGATGGACGAGATCGAAGTGTTTGAACACGTACTTCTGGAACCAGAGGAACTTCTGACAGAAGGTAAGTCCTTTGGTATCACCATCATTCATTTGAGCGGTTTGCAGCCAGATTGTTACTCGCATACTCATGAAACGAATTAAATTCTCAATTGATTATAAATACATACTCTTCATTCCCGCTTTATTTCTTCATGCAACTGAGAAAATATGCATGAAACGTCTCCTTTTATGTCTTGATCATGTAACGCAATACTCAAATATATATTACTATAAGACACAGTTTAATTCTGTAACAGCGATCAGGATAAAGTTTATAGTAAAATGACAAAGTTTGTGTCCATGAAGTGTGTATGCATTGTAATCAAACTTTTAACAAATTATATATTCAAGATATATGTGCTTGTATTTCTAGTGTCACGGTATTCACAATCAGCTCAGATGGAGCTCAATTTTGAGTACAATACAATACTAAACCTGCAGCCATCAACACAGAGACTGCCAGGAAAGTTTGGGTACGCCATGTTCATCGATTCCGGGGATTCAGTGAGCCATAAGGGACAATTCACTTTCGACTGTTTTGGTTCATTTGACATGTGTGGTAAAGGCTTTACCATGGTGATGTGGATACAGCCTCAGATGAATGAATCAGAAACGGATTTTGGCATCGCATCGGCGATCAATCAGCATCGTGGATTCATGATAACGTACCACACCTCCCATCCACAATACCAACACTACCCTGCATCCTATTGGTTGACTGTGAGAGACGGGAAAACTGAGTATAACATCCCTTTCCACATTGGAGACTGGTTCTGGTCTCATCTACTGCTGACATGGCGTGAGGCTAAACCGTATCTGTTCGTGAATGGCTACCTTGTGACGAGCGATGAAAGTCGGTATCTCTCTGATGATAGCTATCCTTCCACCCGATTCCACTTTGGCAAAGCTGATGATAGAGTGACCTCCCTTGATGGATTCTCTGGTGGCGTGGATGAGTTCAACTTCTGGCAGCAGCCTCTGACAGATGCTGAAGCTGTTAGATTGTATCGTAAGTTGATGGATGTTGTGATTTCTCTGTGAGTATTGTTTTAGAAACAGTCCAGCAATACGGGTTTGCGAGAAAATATGTTCAACCCCTATGGAACCCATCCGACAGTTTCTCTCCCGGTAACTTTAAACATACACCACAGTATATAGAGCACTTTTTAGAAATTTCATGAACTGTTTCAACGTTCTTTCATATATATCAGTGGTCTAGGGGTAAGAGAGCTGCCCAGAAAGCGGCAGGTCCGTGGTATGATACCAAGGGTGCCATAGCAAGAGATATATAACGATGCGATTGGTTCTTACAGGAACTTGGCATTATGGGGATAAACCATGACTGAATGGCTCGGAGTCAGCGGGATGTCTTAATTGTCTATATGTAACCGCGTATGGCATCTCAGTACGGTAGCATTAAGAAAACTGTACAAGCAGTCACAGGCACAAATACACGAGCACGCACGTCGATATGTAAGTGAAATGGACTTGAAAAATAAACATGACCACTGATGTCGATAACATTTATGTGATAGTGATACCTTTATTGCTTTTGGATATGAAGCAAGATAGGTTATCACTTCTATATTCACATCTACATATGTAGGTTTCGTTACCAAAGCATGTAGTCTGATTTTTCTTACAGTTCAGTCGGTGTATGTCGAGAATCCATTCCACTGGAATACAACATCTTCCGGTTTTCCTGGAACCAGTTTTACCCTGACAGACAACTCACAGTACCTCAACCTCACCTCAGAGGTCATAAGTGGATCCTGTCATCTACAGGGCGGCTCATGTCTTCACGGTTTGACTCTCAGCGTCATGCTCCGTTTCCTGGACCAGAATGACCATGATCAGATGATCCTCACAACGGGAGGTGACACGGACGACGGGACGGGGGTGTTTTTACAATATGTCCCTAACAACCAATCAATGCCATTCAGAAGGTACTTCAAACTTGGAGCAAAGACGTTAGACAAGGAGTATTTTGTCTTCTTCAATATGCAGTATAGACAATGGAGCCATGTCGTGGCCGAGTTTCATCCCAACGTGTCTCTGAAGGTATATGTGGACAAGCAGCTTGCAGGGGAAGACAATGGGAAGGCAAGGACGACCCCTGCTTCAGGCGTCGATAGACGCTTACTGGTTGGCAAATCAAGTCTGGAGGTGACAGAGCGGCCTAATTATGAAATTGGACAGATCGATATCTGGGACAAGGCGGTGGATGGTTCAATGAAGGGACAGGGTAAGATGCCATCATTGTGTTTTTCCTAACAGACAAGTATATAATCTGGTAATTGAAAACGGGATTCAGTTTGTTAGAGTCGGTGTTTTCGCTAGTTGTGAGATGAAAGGAAAATATACAGTCTAAAAATATATTACTACAATAATAATTTACTCTGTCCAAACAGTTGAGGACTGGATGCATTTTGTCCACTATGATATTGACCGCACCGGAGCAACAGTATCTGAAGGCGTTTCCCTGACTGACTGCTACAGCCTCTGCAGCGAGGACAACATCACGGAGTGCAACACCTTCTCCTTCTGCCCACACGTGGAGCTGGGGAACTGCTACTTGCTCTCTGACCAACTTACTGTGTCCAGTCTGACCTACTCAGACAAGTGTGACACCTTCATTCCTGTGAAGCTGCCATACCTCGGTAAGCTAAGCTGGCCCATGAATGTGTTTTGATACCCTGTCATTGGTACATAATTAACTTCAGAAGTAATACCAGTACACCATGTCTCATGATTAACTGATACGCTACGCACACGTACGAGACTGTATAGAGACCGCAGTGATGCGATATACCAAACAATTTGAGATTGATATTGTAGCTATTCCATCTTTGCACCTGTTTGTGTGCTGAATAAGGTTTGGTCAATCGGGCTTTACTATTAAAACATAGGAATGTATATTTAAGGTCGCAGCCAATATATACTGAACAACATTAGAAACGCACCACCCATATAATACGAAATATCCCCTTCAGACTGAAATGTACCCATGATATCTTAGCATCGTCAGAAAGCTTGGAGATTCCCTCAACAAATGACGAAAACATTTATCCGAAAAATGATGTATTGACAGAGCATGACACGTATAGAGGCACCAGGGGTCAAAACCCAAAGTCACAAGTTAACTGTAAACACTGTCAGTAGCTGGCGTGTCCACCATTGGCGTTGATAACTGCAACACAGAGCTGTCTGAGAGAGAAAATCTCCGTCCTGATTATTCGCTAGGATATCTGTTGCCATACACATACCAATTGACGGACATTGACAGCAGGTGTTTCCATCATTAGACGTCGGCCCATTTCATCCGAGATGTGCTCAGTTGAGCCACATCGGGTGATAGAGCTGGCCATGGAAGCACATCCACATTGTTTTGCGTCAAAAAGTCCATGGTGCCTTGCTGTGTGTGCTCGAGCATTATCTTGCTGAAGGATTTGGAGACGTGGATTGGCGTTCAGATGTGTAATGACGTGGTTTCGTAAAGACGTCGTTTGTGTAGGTGATGGCATTAACACGTCCTCGAAACACATGTAGTGGTGTTCTTGAATGAACACTTATGACGCCCCAAACCATCACACTACCCCCACCAAAACCATCGCACTACCCCCACCCCAACGATCTACCTGTCGCACACAGCAATCCGCATAGCGTCCCCAACTACGTCGCCATACACGAACACTTCCACCTGCGTGACTGTGATGAAAACGACATTCATCAGTGAAGAGAACACCTTCCCACTGTTGCTGCGTCCATCTTCGATGGGTGCAGGCCAGTCTAATCGACATTGTCGGTGTGTGGGTGTCAATATGGGGCCATTGTAGGGACGCCGAGCGTTGAGGCCATACTGACGTAAACGGCGCCGTACGGTTTGGTCGCTGATGATTCCACGTCGCCCCTGTATTGTCAAAGCTGTACGTGTAGCAGTCTCGGTTCTGTTCCGTAAGTGGGACAACACAATGACTTGTGTCGATCTTGTCTGGGCGTGGTGACACGTGGTTGTCAAGGACGTTGACGGTCACGGGTACTTCCAGTCTGCTGCAAGCTTTGGCGGAGTCTGACAATTGAGGAATGATGGCAGTTGAATGTTTGAGCCACTTCCCGAGTCGACCATCCAGCATTCAAGCAACACACTGCTCCTTCTCGTTGTTCCGGTGTCAAACGTGGCATGGTAAACAGGGTCAATCACGGTTGAATTCTCTCTTAAACTGGTGATTAACAGTTTGGCAATTGTGATCTTTTATACCCATGTGCATTTGTGGATATTGCGTCAGAAGTTTTAAAATCACCTGCATTTCATGATTTTCATGATATCGAGTCACAAATGTGGTTTTGTTTTGATGCAACAGTCCAAACAACCATGTGTGTTTTACATGTTGAGATCCCTATCATAATTGATCATGCATTCATTCCAACCTATATTTTCACATTTTTTTCAGTGCATTGTAGTGTGGTGCGTTTCTAATGTTGTAGAGTCTTCTGTAATGACACTCTAGGTAGCGAGCCTGTCATACCCGACACCAGCTGTAACGTCAACTGCTCCACCATCATGTCTGAGACATGTGGCGGAGAAAACGCTGTCTCTGTGTATAACACTGGAAGTCTGCAGCCTCTCGTAGCACCATCTGCTGGGATAGACACGCTTGTTGTTACCACAGTGCCGGGAGTTGTGTTAGAAATGGGGCACTCTATTAATTTCACAATGGTCGTTAATAACGGCACAGATGCTGGGTATTTTATCTCAACACAAGCCATTGATGCAGATTACTATACAGGATTTAATACCACGTCATTTGCTGCTGATAAACCTGGCAGATTTACTGTGTCTGTAAGAGCAATGAATGAAATCAGTTACAAGGACTATATGACTGATATATATGTATATATCCCTATAACAAGTATAGCCACAGATTATATAAGTTTCGAAAAGACCGGCGAGCTGATCAGCTTCACTGTAACAGTCCTAAATGGAACTAACATCACGTGTGAGGCAGACTTTGGTGATGGGGATAGCGAGAGTTTGTTCAAAACGGATGATTCTTTACCATTTTCCTTCAGTCATACATATGCCACTGCAGAGGTGTATGTTGCCAATATTACATGCTACAACAATGTCTCCTACCACACTGACATCGGCGCAGTCATCATTCAGGACGTCATCAGTAACATCCAGCTCTCAAACGACAACCCAGTTCGTTACCTGGATGACGTCAATGTGTCCTGGAGTCTCGATACAGGAACTAATGTAACCTTTAACCTTCTGATGGACGGGAGAGAGACACGCCTTGAAAACTATGTGTTCAGTAATTTGTCGGGATCTGCAGTATTACCTCATGTATTCTACAACTGGACGGGACAACATGCTCTTGCTCTTGTAGCCTATAATCTTGTATCTCATGAAGACTATAACACAAGTGTATTAATTGAAATTCCAATTGACCAGGTGACCATTGTACCAAATGGAACATTCCATGCTGTGGACGCGGTTATAAACTTCACCATTACTATTGCGAAAGGTTCCAACCTGACTATTGACTTACAGCTGGATGATGTGACGAGCGTGGAACTGACATCACCCAGAAACAGCTACAACCATGTGTTCACATATCAACACAGCTACAGTTACATTGGGGAGAAAACCATCAACCTTACAGTCAGTAACATACATGGAAGTGTCAGTTCAATGTGTAACCTCACCACTGAAGTCTCTGTCGCTGATGTTGAAGTCGTCGCAGATGACGTCTTAAATCCAGTTGACTTTGAACTTTATGTCATATTCAAGGTTGTTAATGCGTCAGATATTCCCACTAATGCAGTTAGTGACATAGATTTTGGTGATTCAAGCTCAGTGTCAAGTGTCAGGACTGACATTCAGGATCATCACCAGAATATTACACACAAATATGAAACACACGGTGTCTTTGTTCTTAACGTTACTATTTACAATAACGTCAGTACTAAGGCTCTGTCCAAAGACCTGAAGGTTGGTGGACCCATATCGAATATCACAGTGGCTATCAATAGAATGTTCATCCCAGTTGGCTCAGCACTTATCGCAACAGCAGATGTAGGTTATGGGTCTCTCATCACATACATATATGATCTAGGTGATGGAACAGCAATTACACAGAACTATACAAGGTCGTACCCAACTGCTTCAGATACGGTGGAACACATATACAACGACACTGGGAACTATGAAGTCACTATATGGGCATCCAACAGTTTCAACAATGTGTCTGAAACATTGACGGTCCATGTGCAAAACAAGGTTGCAGGACTCATTCTCACATCAAATGCTCCAGTCCGATTCAACAAACCAATCACGTTCCTGCTAACAGTGATCTCACCGGGAACGGACACTTGTTTTATGTTTGACTTCAATGATGGATCTGTAATGTTATATGGCGTTGCTTCCTGTCCATCGCGACCGGAATATAAGGGTATCAAGTTTAAAGAAAACTCGGGGTCATCGCTAATGGTTAGTAATGTGTACCAGTTCGCAGGTACTTACAACGTCACAGTAAACAGCTCTAACGAAGTATCTTGGGACGTTGTATCGTTGCCAGTCATTGTTCTGGAATATCTCTGTATTGAGCCGCAGGTTCAGATTCTTGGTCTCTCAAAGGACGAACTGTCCCCAGTGACCATCAAACGGTCCAAACGGTTTGAGTTGTCAGCTAACATTGACACCCAGTGTGATCCTCCAGTCAACACTGTTTACAACTGGGTCATGGAGAGGGTGTCCGTATCAGGCAACCAGTCACATCAGATGGTTGATGTCATAGAAGAAATAACAAACCCAACGAACGGCCTACCTTCGATGACCGTTCCATCAAGGTACCTACCGTATGGAGTGTACAAAATATCTCTAACTGTCTCCTATGAAGTAGGTTCTGATTATAACACAACTGATTACTCATTTATAGAAATTATACCTTCTCAGCTCAAATTCTCCATATCAGGGGACTATCTCCGAACGGTGTATGTCGGTGACGATCTAGTAGTGAACGGCAGTGCATCCTATGATCCAGACTACAGTGGTAATACCGTTAAAGGATTACAATACAAATGGTACTGTCGCCTGCTGAATGAGTCTCTATCCACTGATAATAACAGTATTCCCATGGAGAGCATTTCAACTGAAAGTCCTGGATGTTTTGGCAATGGATTTGGATATCTGAACCAGACCTCCGAAAGTCTTCATGTGAACTCATATGAACTTGTGGTGAATCTGGTATATGTATTTGGTTTAGTCATCAGCAAAGATAGTCGTGTTATGTATGGAGAACAAAGAGTGAAAACTGTTGGCTCAAGAATAATTCCTATTGAAATGAGGTAAGTGGGTGTGTTCATTTCCGTCTTTGACATTATTACGCATGAGCGACCAAGGTAACCTGTTTCGACCATATGTTCTCATGGTATTTTAGGAGAACAACTGACTTGTCTTTTCATGTCTGAGTGATGGGTGTCGATGAGGCAAAATAGCTAACCGTTTCGCCAACACCTGTTATCGCCATTTGAGAGTGATTCTTCACTATATGCTTATGACCCGTGAAGGTCCGGGTTAGAATGAACCTTCAGTAACCCATGCTTGTCGTAAGAGGCGAATTACGGGATCGGATGGTCAGGCTCACTGTCTTGGTTGACACATATCATCGGTTCTCATTTGCGCAAATCGATGCTCATGCTGTTGTTCACTGGATTGTCTGGTCCAGACTCGATTATTTACAGACCGCCGCCATATAGCTAGAATATTGCTGAGTGCGGCGTAAAACTAAACTCACTCACTGTATGCTTTTGATATAGTCGAAATCGTAAAATGGATTCTGCTTTAAGTACAAATTCCTTGTAATTTGGAAATATTTTTGTCACTTCTATTTTCAATTTATGTCCGAGAATTCAGACAATTTTGTTTCAGTACGTCCACGTGTATACGAATTTCCCTAACCATGATTAGATAACAATCAATGCGGACAGTTCAGTTGGATTAGTACCATTTTGAATACAAACTGACCGGTCAAGCTGCTGAATTTGAGAATTTGAAACGTATTCTTGATTATATATATTACTTATAATTCAAGCGGTTTTCGGTTGTGGTATTGGAATACACATTATTAGTTACCTATGAAACGGTACGTTGCACATCACCACTGCCTTGATATACCTGTAATGAATCAGCACAGACGAAATCATACCGAAGGCTTCCATGTGTTTGTTTTAAAGGTGTTTTGACAACTGTGGTGCCAAGGTTGTGGCAAACCAGCCGCTGCGATTGGAAAGTGTCTGCAAACTTTGTGCTCTACAAGAATTTCCCTTTCACTGGGAGCTCTTCTTCATCGATGCAGGCACTTACCAACAACTCAACATCACACTGTGGATCGCAGAAGGTGAATAATAGTTCTTGTATCTCTGTATTGTTCAGTTGTTGTGCAGTCATAATGCAAAACCAAGTATATATGTAAGTCCACGAATCAATTGCTCATTGAAAGAGTCTTACAATGACCTTGGTGCTGTGATTCATTTGATCAGTTCTAATGAATCGATTATATCATGATACACACCCATCTTCGTAGTTATAAAATTAAGGTTAATACTTGAATTCCCAAGGAGCGACATATTAAATAAACCAATAATTTTCATCACGCAAAGGCGTGCAAAAGAACATAGAATGTCGTGACAGATCCGTCGTGGAGATCAAATCCATGTATCCATAAAAGACCTAATATATTCACAAGGGTAGAGTCTGGGCTCCAGAAACATAGAAGCCGTCATTGTGAGTTTCGCATATCTACAGAAACCTGTTGTAAGTGGCGACAAAATGGATTGTGGGGACAGGTTCAAGTCTAAGTAAACTAAGTAAAGCTCAGTATTATTCGTTTCACTGCTAAACTGAGTCTAACAAAACCTAGTAGAAGGTCGCGTCAACTAACCTTTTTGACTGACCAATCAGAACACAGCTTACCAAATCTCGAAAGTTAATATTCGTACATACCGTTTGAACCTTTACCTCAAACCTCGAACGATTCCGAACGATTTTCCGCACGATCGCTTCCGAGTGATACACGCAATGAATAAACAATCGCTGGAAATAGCGCTTTTGTCAATATTCAAGGATGTCATCTTGCGAAAATATAAGCAAATAGTAACCATGTCATTAGAAACCCATAAGCGTATATACTGCAGGTCAAATATCTGTGTTTTATGTGGATTTTCGTTTGTTGATAGATCAGTGTCAGCGACCAGGGAAGAGAAAATCAAAAACCGTTTTGTAAGTCCCGCCGAACCCTAACAAGTAGTCGTTATCTGATTGGTTAAATCCATTCGGTCGTCTTGCGTTTGATTGGACGGTTATAGATCGCCCAAAGGTTAGCTGACGCGACCTTCTACTAGGTTTTGTTAGTATTGCAGGGTAACGAATAATACTGAGCCTAAGTTTACTTAGACTGGGAAAGGTTCATGAAGTATTGATTGCTTTGAACGTATCCTAAATCACACGTGGATCAACGTCCATGATGTCAGTCACTTGACTTGTCTAGAATCACATACAGCTGATTTGTTACTGTGGGGGCGACCAAAACTGAATATCATATAATTTTCTTTATCCTGACTCATGCTTATTTGCTTTCTCATCCTATCTTCCGAACGGTCAAGTGGAGACTTGAATCCCTTCAATTCCCTTGAAGCGAACGTACAATCACTCACCCTGAGTTACCTACCTTGGTACCGCCAAAACCGTCACGTAACCACCTCATACCTTGGTCCTCACTCGCTCCTCTATCGCCCAAGCGGATGGTTGGGCGGTCACTTCAGGGTCCCTTCGCGGCTTATAACTTCATAATGTTTGCATATATAGCTCACATTCTGCCGTGAATGTGTTTATTAATATGTTATTTATCATATTTGTAACAAAATTTGTACATATCATGTCAAATTAATTCACGTTTTGACTCCGTTCCAGATGACTATTTGTTCACATTTCACAGTGTAAAATATTGGTCCATCACGTCTCAGCGCTTGATTCACATCCTGGGTGTTCTTCAATGGCTGGTTTACGGTTTGATTATGACCTTCATGCTTGATTATTGTATATAATCACATGTTTGAATTATGGATGTCGTCCCAGTCGAGGTCTGCGCCGTCTCCTGTACGGGAGAAGTTAACTCCACATACTGACAAGTAAGAGGAAGTCCCCTCTGGCAGAGACGTCATCGCAACATAAGAAGCATCAAGTGGCCTCTTCAGGGAAGCAATCCTCATCATCTATGCACTTTTCTAGATATTCGAGGTCGTCGCTGCATACCCCTACACAGCGATCTTCAAGAGATTTTGGGGCGCCTGGTGCTGAAGCACAGAAGTACCTGCGATTCCTGTTCGAAGGATGACACTACCAGTGAAAGGTCCTGCCCTTTGGAATTTCGTCGGCCCCGTGGTTATTTACGCGAATAACCAAACCGATCGAAGCTTATCTCCATCAGAGGGGTCTATGCAGTGCCTTCAACCAAGACGACGGCATCCAGGCGCATCAGGAAGAAGATCAACTCAAACAACAATTGCAGTTTATGATCAACCTGCTGACACAATTGTGCAGGTGAATCTTTAAAAGTCGGAGTTAGAGCTGACCCAAGATCTACAGTTCCTGGGCATCAGGTTCCTGACGTCAGAGAATCGAATCCTGGTTCAAGACGACCGATAGCAGAGCATCTAGTCGTGCATACAAGACGCCCTCAACTCTCCACTAGACTTAAGAACGTGGCAGCGACTCTTGGGTCTACTAACATCGGCGCAGGCTCTCACACGCAGAGGAAGATTGCAGCTACGACCGCTACAGCGTTTCCTGATAGCTCATCTAGACAATGTCCAGAGGGTTCGCCATCCCACAACATCTAAAGCAGTTCCTGCTTTGGTGAACAGTAAGATTAATTGTTTGCGGCGGAACCTGTTTGAGAGAGCCAGCTTACGACCTTCATCTCTACATGGATGCGTCCCTCCAAGGATGGGGGGCACATCTCAACAACGAGAATGCAGTAGGGCAGTGATCACAAACAGAGACGGGTCTGCACATCAACCGGCTAGAACTGAAAGCAGTAATAGAGGCAGTGCAACACTGGGCAGCGCAGCTAAAAGATCAGGTCCTGGTGATACACACGGACATCTCAACGGTGGCCTTCTACATCAATCTGCAGGGGTCCACGAGATCAGCGCCACTGCTTCATCTAACATTCCAGCTGTTCGGCATCGCAGACGACATCAACCTAAGGATGAGGGCCTGCCACATCCTAGGGGGCGAAAAACGTCTTAGCAGACGCTCTATCCAGACCAGTACGGCCGTCCCCCAATGAGTGGAAGTTGCATCCGGAGGCATTCCAGTGGGTAACAACACGACTCGGCCGTCCTCTCATCGACCTGTTTGCGACCCCTTTCAACCATCAGGTGACAACGTTCGTCTCGCCAGGGCCAGACCCAATGGCATGGGCAGTCGACGCCCTAACCATATCCTGGGAAGGACTGAATGCTTACGCCTTCCCCCCAGCGATCCTGCTACCGTAAGTGCTACACAAGATCAGCCCGGCGAGGGTCTATAGCTGACTTTGGTCGTGCCTTACTGACCAGCGAGACTATGGTTCCCAGACCTCATAGATCAACACGGTAAACCAGTACTACGACTTCTAGACAGGCCGAACCTACTCGTCCACCCTCACACCAACCAGCGACACGGCAACCCAGAAGCGTTCCGGTTACACGTATGGAGCATATCACGTAATGCTTGAAGAATCGAGGGTACTCCACTAGAACAGCCAAGGCAGTGACCTTGGCTTTTCGTAGATTGTACACGTAACTTGTATGATGATAAATGGAGAAGCTTTGACCAGTTTGCTGTTCGACAGGTGTCCACAAGTAGACTGCTTGTGTCATTTGAGGTCTACTAGACATCTGAAGGGCTCTACATTGTCTACCTACCTTGCGGCAATCAGCTCGGTCGTCACTATGAAGACAGGGGTAAAGTTGACCAAGGTGCCTGAACTAGTGACACTGCTGAGATCCTTGAAGTTAGAAGATCAACAACAGAAGTTCAGAGCACCAGCATGGGACCTCAACATAGTGTTGCAGCATCTCTTCAGTGATGTATATGAGCCGCTGACGCAGACAACATTTGAGTTATTAACTCAATAGATCATATTCCTCCGCGCCCTGGCTACTGCTGCTCGGATATCTGAGATCCACGCCCTTGACGTACAAGATTTCGACACGGGAGGAAGGGCGGCAGTCCATCTAGGTCTTAGATGGGACTAAGAACAAGATACCGGGCCAACCGGATCGTCAGTTCCACGTTCCGGCATTATCGACCATCCTGGATCCAGAGGACACACAAGACCTGTCCTTATTCCCGGTCTGATCACTGAAGATCTACTTAGAAAGAAGTGCTGCGAGAAGAAGGAAGTTCAAGCGTCTTTTCATCCTGCTATCACTTGCTACGACTGTAGAAGTCTCCCGTACCACGGTCTCCTTCTGGATCAGAGCGGTGATCCTAAGAGCCTACAAAGCAGCAGGGTTAGAGCCTCCAAGACCATCAAGTCCATATGAGCACTGGCCTCGACACTCGCCCTACATGGGAACTGCTCGATATCATCCATCATGGAAGGCTGCTTTTGGAAGTCAGACATTGTCTTCGCTAACCACTACCTAAGAGACATCTCGACGGAAGGCGTATCAGGCAACTCACTATGCCGGCCAGACGTTGAAGAAATCTCACCATTGTCACGCAGACTCTTTGACGCCAGGCAACTGATCCATTGCCACCGGCTGAAAGTCCATGTTCCCCTGTCTTACAAGATAAGTCAGCGCATGAGTGATACAAAGACTCAGTTATGGTAAAGTCCTTGCCTTAACAGATGGGTCGCGATACCAGTTTCGGTAATAGATCTTACCGGAACACTTAGGGTCGTTGCAGATATCTATAATACCAGGCGTCTAGTATACTAAATCCACAAAACCTAGAGGTTACTTCTAATACGAATTTATGTGAAGGTGGTCCCCCGATGAGCATCAAGAAATATAGAAGTTAGCCGCAGAAGAAGAAAATTCCCAGGGGGTATATATATCAAGCGAATGCTGACGTGAATACAATCATGCAGGGAATCCCGTAGGTTGCTGACCCACCACCTATTCCGTCGGATTCAGTAAGCAAATAAGCATGAGTCAGGATAAGCAAAAATATGTAATTTTATGATAAAATTGATATTTTATACTTATCCTGGCCTTCCCAACAACCCCCTCTCACCACACGGGGTTCCCTGTAAACTTGCGTGGGGCAATAGTCGGAGAGAGTGAGGACCAAGGCATGAGGTGGTCACGTGACGGTTTTGTCGGTAACAAGGGAGGTAACTCAGGGTGAGTGACTGTACGTTCACTTCAAGGGAATTGAAGGGATTCAACGTTCCACTTGACCGTTCGGACGAGAGGAATGAGAAAGCAAATAAGCATGAGTCAGGATAAGTATAAAATATTAATTTTATCATAAAAATTACATTATGTATCGACACCAAATAAGAATAGTATCGTTGTTGACATAAGTTTATCCTTTGATTGGGTGGATACAGTGTCCAGTCAGGCGAATGTTCACCTCAGTCAGTTATTTGCACTCGTTGTGATATTGCTTCCTGCAAACATTATCTCAAATGTCACCCTTACTTACGTTTCTCTACAGGTGAAAATACAACAGATGTGGAACAGACAGGTATTTTGCATGGTTGATAAAATAATGGTTCGCATATTGCATGATGTTTAAATGCATGACCTGGAATTCAACATTTAAAAACTGACTTTCACTTTGTGTGAGATCATCAGAATATGAAGCTTCACGGAGCCTAATTGTATGAGCGTTCGTGTTTCCGTAGATATAAACTGTCTGAAGGTTCATTCTCCGATGAACTCACACAGAGAGAATTTCAAAGCGTATGATTTCATATCACTTTTGTATACCTCGATGGGTGTGTTACACAGTATCCTCAGTACATCACGAGTTCTGGTAAGCAAGCATCATAGGTCTGTGGCTTGCCCAGACATGGAGCTAACACATCTATACTGGTAGTCACACACCACAAGTACATGAACAAAATGCTGTGATACACATGATATTTATCATTTGCCGGCATATATTCATGGCTACAACATCGACTACGAAAGAACATAGAGTCGAAAAGACTGCTTCATGCATATTATTACTCAATTTGATTCCTTCACCTTATAAATAAACACCCTTTTCTGGTGTCCCCCGCCGCGATATTGCTGGAATATTGCTAAAAGCGGCGTAAAACTAAACTCAGTCAGTCAGTATAAATAAACATACCTTTAAGGATCGTTTATAGTATGACATTGCCATGCACGCACAAACCTTCTGTTGGTCCGCTTTGCAACACACGAAAGATAGTAATACTCTCCATTTTAGGCAAATACAAATCGAGAGTATCATGTAACGTTACATATTTAGTAAATTAAGTCTCACAGCTTCATAACACTTCTATTTGTTGATGAACAGGTAGAACTAATGATGGGGCCAGAACAAGCCCTGAAACGTTGTACCAAACAATACACAAGAGGATGAAACCCAGACAATTCTCTATGTTCATCAAATAGCATCTTCTAAAATACCAATTCTTCTATTTTTGCACATGGCGTGTTTTTATTTACACCAAGTACTCTTTTACATGCATGTAAATGTACTACACCGATAATGTAAACTGATATAGACCCATGCCTCAGCTCTGTATCAGAAAACCCACATGTTCCCAATGTGTGAAGCCCATTTCTGGTGTCCTCCGCAGTGATATTGCTGGAATGTTGCTAAAAGCGTCGTAAAACTGTAATTTTCACTCACTGAATAAAATATAACTTGAAGTGCATGATTTGGTCCTTAATCATTGTTAAATGTGAGGTTTTCAGTGTCTCAAAAAGCACAAGGTGTACAGAATCAAAATACCAGATAATGTATTAGGTAGTTATATTACCCACTGTTTATAACATGATACTACACTCAGGCCCTGTCTTCACACCTCCATCTGTCACATTCTCACCTGCGTTGTGAATACACACATTTCTGTGTAAACACTTAAGGAGAAAAGATCTCGCAAAAAATGTTCCAACACATTGATAATCTGGAAATAGGACTCGAATATTTTACGACGTCATCAGCTTAAAAATTCTATCAGTAACTTAGTGTAATTGTATAGGTGTTCACTCAAAGTCGTTTCATAACAAATGTCAACATTTTAGTACTCTCTCTTAAAACATCTTGTACCTCGTGAGTATTCTTCAGTAATTCAGCACAAGACACTAATATCCAGCTGATGATATCCGGGAATATCTTCCTTCCTTGCATAATAATGAGTTTCTTCTGTATAACCTATGTCGCTGTCTATTCCTGAGTTCTGTTGTATAACCCCACATGTGCTATTAGAAGCATTTTGAGTCAACTAATACTCGTATTTCACATCTTTACAATCTTGATATGTACAGGTTTCGTGGGTCCAAACTTGGCACTGAACCCGGGAAGTCTAGCTCCTGGAGTTGACTACCGTCTCCGCCTGACATATGACGCCATGATCACCGAGAGAGACATCAGCATCAATTTCCCACCTTATGGTGGACACTGCTACGCTGATAAACAGTTGGGTCAGTCATCATTCAAATTGTCACAAACATAATCAGGTTAAATTCCAAAGCAAATCCGCGATGTGCACCATAAATGCATTTCCTCCCGATAGTAAAGACCTGCTTAGGTCGCCGTCATTACTTCCACAGCTTTTCTGTTTTACATTTACATGTATGTACTTTAAAATGGTAACTTTAACTGTTTCACACCCGTTTGACTGCTCCTGGTTAGAACTTATCTTCAGCAACCCACACTTATCGTAAGAGGTGACTAACGAGATCGGGTGGTCAGGCTGACTTGGTTGGCACATGTCATCGTATCCGAATTGCGTAGACCGACACCATATAGCTGGGATATTGCTACGTGTGGCGTTAAACAACAAACAACTAAAAAGCTATTACTTTGATAGTAATGGTAAATACAGATTAATACCTGAGATAGATTAATGTCGTTTTTACAGTGAGCTTCACACAACCAGATTCGGAATGCCTTTTAATATGTCTACAAAACAGATCACTGTATGGTTCACTTGAACTATGTCACCACCATGTTTTAGGTATGGAGTTTAAGACGATGTTTGTGATTTACTGCGAAGATTGGCTGGACGAAGGAGATCGCCCAGTGCGAGCTCCAGTTGAAGACAGCAGGTACAAAGCACCACTGACATTCAAATTCTCCTACCGAGCGCGTGGTTTGACATCAAGACCCCATGTATTCTACGAGGTGACCGGAACCAATGTCCAAACACCGGAAGTGATGTTCCGCTCTGGACTAGATGAAGAGGATCATTATATTGACCTTTATGTTGAAGTGGCAGACAGCAGTGGAGCTACAAATAACACGACGCTTTCCATCAAGGTTCGTTACCCTCAGTTTGTTCGTACTGATCGTAAACTCGACCTGTAATTCGAGGGAATGTAGTTTATTGTATCCATAGAATACGTTCCAACGTAATGGACTCATTGTTACAAACACAAAACTTTCATTTTTTAAGGGCGTCGATAAAGGGTATACAACATGGTTTATTTCAGCAACTAGCTCAGATGTTCCATGCAAGAGACCTTCTGTTTAAACCAAGACTATTTCATTCGGAATAATGAAGAGTACATGTATTCTCCGTGACATAAGTTACAAGTACTCTTTAAGTTATTTAGTTTATTTGATAAGATTTTACTGGTTAATGGGGATGTGGCATGTATCAACTGATATACCTCTATACACAGGTGAAGGCAATCAATCATTTCCTGAAATTCCTTACATTGATATCGACGAGTTGTCTTAATATAACGATGTTATGGGATACGAATGGAAGGAACACTTTGGCACCCGAGTTGTTGTGTAATACTCGTTTTCCAAATGTGTGATATAAATGATTTTGGCCATATGAGAAAGTGATGTCATTAACCTCTTTGTTATAAACGATATATACTATAATCAGAATAGATTTGCAGATTTGGTAATGAATAGAGGATTCTAAACGAACGTCATTGTAATACCATTTTTATTAAACGAGTTAATGATTGGGAATCAAACGAGCGAAAGGGAGTTTGATACTAAATCTTTCACGAGTTTTATAATGACTAAATGACCAAGAAAATACACATACTTCAAAATAATGAGCACATGACTGCTCAAATGATTGAATGAATGAATGAATGAATATATATGCAAGTGTGTGTATGCTCATTCACTCATTCATTTGAGAAGATGTATTCATTAATTATTCATTTGAGTATTAAGTTGCTGATTTTTTGCTCAAATGAATATATCGTTTATATCACACATTTTGAAGACCAGTACTGTGTTATTTAACCGAGTAAATGTCAACATTCCAGGTAATTCCAAGCAGTGGTTTTGTATCCGACGTTTACAAGGACACCGACTATAAAAGATTTGAAGCTGAGAAAGACATCTCCGCCTTATTGCTGATAAACATGGGTGTCATAGATCGTCTGCATGAGGTGAGACTGTAGTATTGCGGGACTAAGGTTTCATCACGACAGGTTCATGTTGTTGGTTTGTCAATTGAGTTGTTGATCATTTCAGAGGCTATACTCAGTTAACTAACACATGGTCCACGTACAGCATTAGAGATACTTCAAAAGCAGTCTCTGAAAGACTGATTAATTCCATATCATTCCGCTTTAAGGTACTCTGTGCACTGTAAACTGCTATGGGGACTTGTTAATGGATTATTACTCATTAAACAAAGTATCTATTCATTTATTACTACACTTACGTATACCTCCATATAATATCCATGTGGTGTCATGAACAATGGATGAGGCCATCATTCTATTCATTTAAGCAAGGATTAAGAAAAGAATGAAATACAGTGTGCACTATTAGAACTGCGAAGTGTGGCAATTGGCAAATGAAACGTAGCTCGACTATGAAATTATGATTTACGACGATCGATAGGTGAGAACTGCATATAGGTTTACTAAGGATCAGACAGGCAAGTGAAGTGTTCACTATCTCTGACTAGAAATATTTACAACCTGTTGAATAGATAAAAGCTTTGGTGACCGGAAGCAGTGACGTTACTTTATATCTGGTTTAAATCATTAGCATAGTTTTAACAATGTTGAAATAATGTTCTTGCAGATTTAAGGGACATTGCCGATCGCTCCATTGTATCATACTGATATAGAGCAAATGTGTCCCAGACAATCAAATATACCAATAAAGCACACCGTCGTAGTGAATCTGTCTGAAGGCATATGTGTAGGTATTATTTAGGTACCACGACGCTCTCTTTTAGAGTGATGATAAAACATCATAAGCATTTGCATGACTGGGATCTGCAATGTCACTATGTCGCATGACCACATTGTAAACGTAATGCGTGTTGAAATGAATAATAAGCACCCTCATTGCGTGTGCTAACTGTTTGTTTTTCATTTAGTTTCTGACTTTCCATAGTTTGTTTCTTTTCAGGTATAACAAAGCATTATTAGGGCATTTCCGTATGGTCCACCATGCACTGAAAGTAGTATGTTTGATATATGGCTACAAGTTCTGCTAATGATTTTTTCCCTGAATCATTGCCTAGTATTCCTTCAATACGTTTAATTTTGCTATTGTCCCTATACTGAAATATAACGTAGCAAATCCATTCATGATATGAAAGAACATACTTTCTTTGTGAAATATAAAAAGGGGTGGTTTCGTTAATGAAGATAAATACCTGCTTTTATAACAAGAAAATACTTATAGGAAGAAAATAAAATATCTCATATGTTTAAGAACGAGATGAAAACAGAAATGTCCAAATTTACATGAATGTACAACTTCTATAGGTTCACAACTAGAACCGGGTGAAGGTACCAATGTAGAGTTTGGCATGGCATGGCATGACATGGCATTGTTTTGTTCACATTCTGAGCATGTTTTGTTCATTTTCTGAGCATGATTGTATTTCAGCTGAGCAACACTAACTCACCTGTACCCGTGACTGCACAGGTAGTCAGTGGTGTCTAAATTGTAGACGTGAACAATGTTCGTACGCTTTAGTGTATATGTTCGCACTGCTTGTTCAATGTTCGCCAGAGCTTGCAACATCTCTTTTAACAAAGAAGCCCGCCGTGATATTGCTGGAATATTGCTAAAAGCGGCGTAAAACCAAACTCACTCACTAAATTTAACAAAGAAGCGACGACCTCTTTTGGGTGAGTTGTTATCAAGTATAGTGCGTGCTTTTTACCGACAATTACAGCTGTGTAAATCTGTGTATCTGGACCCCGTTCCTCAAAGCCATCGTAGCGCTACGACTGTCGTAAGTCAATGTTAAAGTATGGGAGTTACGATCATCTTAGCGCTACGGTCCCTTTGTGGAACGGGGCCCTGGATGATACAAGGGTACGAGCTTCTGAGTTTTTCCGCATCCCAGTGACATTACTACGAACCCTTAACACCATCAATACATTGTAATGAACTCACGCACTTCAATCCTGTTATTTCACTAATAAGATATATCTGGTTATACAATTATTCCTTCGATATCTGGACGTATGGTTGTAAACAATTTTTACAGCTGTTTGCTGTTTTCACGTTTTTTAAGATTCTCCTTAGACAACTCGCAGAACAAGAAATATAATGTAAATGGTACATGGTAGTTTAACCTTACTTACGATCGGATTTGGACATATACCACAAACTGGAGATCGTGTAAACATGATGACTTCATTCAACAAAAAAGAACATTGGCGGAATGAAAATAGATTTGTATCGCAGGCCCTAAATCCTATGGACCACAACTGGACTGCCATAAAACCAAGCAACGTCTTTTGCTACTACTTCAAAGTGACAACTGAACTAGTCTAAAAAACAGACGACGGACATTTGAACCTGCTAGAAATCAATGTTCAGAGTTTGTCTAGCCGTGATCTATTTTAGACAGCTGTGAATTCCATATCTCTATTCTGTTTCGTCTGTGAACTTTGACGTGTGTCTTGTATTTGTCGTGATGTACGGATGTCCAGTTTCATCTGAATCTTTTATTTGTTGTAAGTCTTTGGTGATGTAAGTATATATCTGTTGTGTTGATTTTGATGTGTGATGCATTTATGCGTTAACACAAACGCTTTAGTAGTATTTACTGTTTAATTTCGAATGAAACACACAGTTTTGAATACCACATGTATTACTTCAAGTTATAAGTATCGTGTTGAAAGTTTCCATTTTGTTAGACTAGGCTGCATGTATGCCTTGGACAGTACAAATATATTTTGAGATGATTGGACCGTCCAAGTAACCGCTTAATCTTTCACTGATCACATTTGATTTAAAACCCGGTCCTGACAAACAGGTGCCCTGTCTCTAACACCCCCAAATATGTGTTTGACAACAGATGCGGGAGAATGTGGTAAGTCACATATCGGAACACGCCGACTGGGTGGAGACTCCCTCCCAGGTGGAACTTATGTCAGACATCTTGAAAGAAGCCACTCAGAAACCAGAGGAACTCTCGGTCACGTCCAGAGTAAGAAAACACTTTTTGTTCCCTTGGATCCACTTGAATTCCACATAGTGTTCTATCTTTGGCGATTTTTATGTGAATTGTCTTATGAATAGATCGGGAAACGTTCCGAATAAATACAGTGTAGCTGGCTAAGGATTTGTTAATGAATATGATTAAGTTTTTAACTAATTGAATGAGTATCATAAGCTGATCAAACCAATTTCATTGTTACAACCCGTATCTGTAAGGATTATTGGTATGTCAGTAGACTATCTAACCGTGGCCTATAATCGGTGTTTGTTTTCCAGAAAAAGGCGGTCCAAGTGTTCAGTACTCTGCTCGGTTCTCTAGACAGCGTCTTCAATGAGTCGAGCGACTCTGTCACACAGCAGAGAGTGGCAAAAGGTCCGTTAATGCAGTTAACTTTCATTTTACAGTTTCATACTCATGGTGTCTGTACATATACTGTTTTATGACAGGCAAAGCAGCCCATCTGGCAAAGTAAATGTGTCCATTACATTACACGAAAACACGAGCAGTGAGCACAGATGGCCAGGTTGTCTAAAGTCGCTGTCAGTGGTTCGAATCCTAGATTCGTCTCTCTTATGATCCTTGACCTTTCCTATGTCATTCCGATATCACTCTGTGTACAACATCATACATGTTAACAATAACATGGGCCATTTAGAATAGGGGGTATAATTGTATATTTATTTGAAGTTCTGTAATATTAGTAATTAATGTCATAAACGAGCAATATTAAAACATGATAGCAATAGCAATGATATATAGAGATTATTACATGAGCATGTGCATCATACAACTTATACGAAACGAGAGTTAAATTTTGTATACATATTATTGCACAGGTTCCGTATAAGACATATGACACACTTGCTCAAGTGTAATAATTTCTTTATTATCCATTTTATTGATGTACATTTGTGTAGTACAACATGGTAAGCAAATGTGACGGCCCTCTTCATTGACGTTACGTTCATTTGTTTAATGACGTCACAGACGACGAAATACAGACACAATGGTTGCTAGGCAAAAATGATATGTGCACATATGATATATATGACACTTGTTATGTTACACCATATGTGTAATAATTGTTTATATGTGTTTGGCTACGCTCATATTCAGAATGAGTCTGACACACTTGACTCTTTCAGAGAATACACTGAATTTTCGACATTTGTAATGAGAATTAGATAACAAATAATTGTCACTATTCTAGAATACCTTTTGTCTGTGTTGATGATTTGTGTGATGCACATTCCAATATAGCACATGAAACGACACTTTTCATTGGCCGTTAAACGTGACGAATATAACAAATATCTGTCACATTTCAGGATTGTGTGAATCGTTTATTGGTCTGATGCTGTCCAACTCATTCAACTCGACCTGTGAGACTGACTGCGAGAGCAAGAAGACCCTGGTACATATTATCATGATATGTAATATGCGGACTGTTTGATGGTTATGAGCTATGACCAACACCGCTGGGAACAATGACAATGTGACAAGTGACGTAGTCACCTGTCCCGTAGTCACCGTGATGCTTCATACTGGGAAACACTGAGACAACCAGATATCTTTAGACTTCCTGAGTCTCAGATGAAACTAGATCTTGAACCATACCTAATGAATGCGATGATTACGATCAGGTCATGATAAAGTATTACATAACTGGTAAAGCATTTGGTGTCCTATGTCCCTTTGTGTCCCTACTAAAATTGTCTTCCCACTTCTTTTCGCTCCACGTTCATTTTCTACATGCCTGATGTCATCATTGTGATGTAGTGCCACAAGTGTTTAAATTGGTTAGAGTTGACGCACTAAACTATACTTGCATGTTGCTGGAAAGTGTAAAATTAAAGATGACCAGATTGAAAGAAAATGGCAGATTTTCTCCTGAACAGGAATTTGCTTATTTCAAGAGATAAATGATAGTTTATTCCGGAATTGCTTATTTCAAGAGATAAATGATAGTTTATTCAGAATTATGTTTGCTTTTGATAAACTGGAATCTGGATTTAACTAAATGAATTATCTTTTAACCAGAACCAGTAACATTGTGTTGGCAAGCAGCACTCTCATCCATTTGCCTTCCACTTCTTCTACAGGCTGCGTCCACCCAGTCTGTGTTCGAATCAAGGGACTCCTTGGTTAGGATGCTCTTAAAGGGTAGCGTTGCTGGTGAGAGAGCAACCGTTATTACCAGCACCAATGGTGATCTCACTTACAAGGTGCAGCGGACAAAGGCATCAAGTTTGTCAAACTCCTCGACCGGCACCGGATCTGAGAAACAGACTGTAGTGTTCCCCGACATCACTGCGAAGTTGTTGAGTGATGATGCAGCGAGTGTAGATGTGGAGGTAGGTCAGAGAGGTTTTTGCAATGGTTCTACAGTCCGTGGGTACAATGTATTGCATTTAAGTTAAATTAAAAATTGGTAATTAAAACATTATTCGTATCTTTTTTTCAAATGTATTTAAATGACTGACAGGAAGCATATTCTGTGTATATTTGTCAGTGATAATCTTCAACAAATACCAGTTGAGTCATTTCTTAAAAAAGCGATGTACTTAAAAGAATTTAACATACACTTAACAAATTTTATCTAGTAGTAGTATTTTCTGTTACTTACGATGATGGCATTGTTTTGTCATATCGCGGAGGCATCATGGTATTACATCATAATAATAGTATTGTCTTGATGAACTCATAGAGCATCTGTCAACAATATCATTTTCTTAATGGCCACTCTGGGGCTTGATATTATTGACTGAGAAAGTATCTATCAACATTGCAAGCACACACAAACGTTTGGTGTCATTAATGAATGAATATGCAATTCAATATACCGCAATGGTTTGTTAGTTGATTTACCTGTGTTGAAAAACTATCTATCTCTAGTCGGATTCTTTCGTTAAGGTGATTGAATCGAGCAAACTACAGATAGATGATGCGGACAGCGTCCAGACACGTACAACATCCGTCACCCTGTATAACCATGGCAATAAGTTAGACATCAGCCAGCTCACAGATGCCATCAGTGTGTTTGTGTACCCAACAAGTGACTTGACCAGTAATACAATAGATGTGGCTGAAAACTACACAGGAGATCCATTTTACGTCAAGATTTCTCTAGAAAGAGCAGATGTTGCTGTTGGGGTTCAGTTCAAGCCTGAAGATGCCCAAAACGCTTCTTTTGCATACTTTGTTAGCTATAACTCTGTACCAACGAATCAGAGTAGTGACATTCATGGAACGTTGCCAGTGGAAGATGAAGCTGGGGAACAGTGGGCTTTGTCGTTCAACGTTGCATCCTTTCCCAGTTACAGTGAAGAGAAAAGCCAAGACGTAAATCCATCAGTGTATATTGGAATTATTCCCTTACACGGTGAGTCTCTCCTTCCCTAGCTTGGTTGTTTTGATATAACCACATGTTCATGATAGAGTCGAAAGTGCTTTTAGCAGATGTTTTAAATGGATGTGGAAAGGGTTTTGTTGCTTCTATGTATTTGGATAATTCAGACTGGACATACTAGCAAACGATGTTTCTCAATACATGATACCTAGTTTTCATTACTGTAATAGTTTCCCAAAGTGCTTTACGTCAAGCCGAGCACCTGACACGTGTTTATACTTGTACAGATACAAATGAGACCTCCTCGGTGCTCAACGTGACGATCTTCTCGGCTGGTTGTCAGTATTATGACACGCAATCCAGCAGCTGGAAGCACGATGGACTGAAAGTAAGATAAACCATCATAAACCTTTTCTCAAATACAAGTGATTAATATAACAGAAACAACACAAAACATAACACTTTATGACACTCAGAGTATGTTGGATATGTGACAATACCATCCCAGTTAAATCCATGCTTGCACCGTGGCGAGCACCTGGTGGCATCGCTGGTGTTCTGTAATCCATCCATAATATTTTCACCCCTCTTTTGCCCTTTGGACACAATCTCACCTGTATCAGCGGATGATCGAGACTGGTTGGTGTCAGGAACGGTTCCAAGGAATGTTATTTCACACCAGGTGACCGAGTGGGTGATCATATATATGTACTTGGTGGGCATATATCCTTGTGGCACGAGGTGACCGAGTGGGTGATCATATATATGTACTTGATGGGCATATATCCTTGTGTCACGAGGTGACCGAGTGGGTGATCATATATATGTACTTGATGGGCATATATCCTTGTGTCACGCGGTGACCGAGTGGGTGATCATATATATGTACTTGGTGGGCATATATCCTTGTGTCACGAGGTGACCGAGTGGGTGATCATATATATGTACTTGATGGGCATATATCCTTGTGTCACGAGGTGACCGAGTGGGTGATCATATATATGTACTTGATAGGCATATATCCTTGTGCCTCAATGACGAGGTATGTTGCCCCCAGCTCCTGTGTATTCTATACGTGTGAAATATTGCTTCTCCTGCTCCGGTTTGAATTTTAATTCTGTGTATTGTATATTCATAATTCAGATCGGTAAAAGGACAGCTTTAACGAAAGTAGAATGCCTGGCAAGCCATCTGACATCCTTTGGGGCCAGTTTCTTCGTGCCGCCGAACACTATCGACTTTAAGAACGTGTTCGCCAAGTTCTCAAACCTCGCAGACAATGCTGCCGTCTTCTCTACCATCATTGTCGTCATCGTCCTGTACCTCGTTGTGATATTTTTTGTCCGAAGAGCCGACAAAAAGGATGTCGACAAGGTAGTGAAATGTTTGTTTTCAGTTCAGATTTACTATTCATATAGTCATATTTGGAAATGTGTTTGATTAGTTTGAGATTGAGGTTTAGTGCAGTATAGTGTGATTATTCAGTCAATGTATTGTGAATCGCAGAAATATTTTGCTCAACACCTACTTCGAAAAGATGCTTCTTTCCACGAACACCATACTGCGTCATAGTGGACCTATTGTAATTATTGATTACGATCAGTGTTGTCAACTTCCTGTTCCAGTGGAGTGTGGTTCCACTGAGAGACAACCTACTGTCAGATGTGTACCACTACCAAGTGACAGTGTTCACGGGCATGAGGCGGAACGCTGGCACCAAATCCCAGGTGTATCTGGTGCTGGGCGGCGAACAAGGGGACACGGAGATCCGCTCACTAGAAGACAAGAACAAACGGGTAAGTGACATCTACTTTGATCCAGATTCCAACTAATCAGAGTCAAAGTATTAGCATCTATCGGATCAGAAATTATGCCTCCTCACATTCACAAATATCTCAAACAAACTTGTATTTAATAGTTTTTTTAAATATTACTAAATGCATAATCACTCCTCAGATTGGTATTTAACATATAATGTTCTGTTTGATGATGAAAGTATACGTAGTGTTATTTTCCATCATCTTTTTTGAAATATATGGTTCCCCATCTGAAACACTTCATGTACATCTCACGACATTTAGTATGGGTTTGGGAGAATGTCCTTGTGCTTTCAAACGTATTACATGTTTATGATTCTGTACCTGTACATCGTTCTATGGAGACATAATTAGCCCATTGCAATGTTTTCACTACATTATTATTTCAGAAACCCGACAGAGGCAGTGTCAACAGCTATGTCCTCAGTGTGCCCCAGTCTCTGGGATCACTGTTGTTCTTGAGGATCTGGCATGACAACTCGGGGAAGGGGATAGACTCCGACTGGTATCTCAACATGGTCGTAGTGAAGGACATACAAACTGACATCAAGTAGGACTCATCAATTCAATTCTGGTTTTACTTTGTACAGGTCTTGGGTCATTATCTGAACACAAAATCAACCTTTCTTTTTTGTAGCTTGTCTTCCAATATGTACCTGAACTCACAATGCTTACAGGGGCGGTGGGGTAGTCAAGTGGTCGATTGTCACGCTGAAGACCCGGGTTTAATTCCCCACATGCGGACAATGTGTGAAGCCCATCTCTGGTGTCCCCCGCCGTGATATTGCTGGAATATTGGTAAAAGCGGCGTAAAACTAAACTCGCTCAATCAGTGCTTATACTCATCATCTAATATACTGAGAAGATAACAACTTCAATAATTACTTAAGTATATCAAGCTTTTAATGTGTGCGTTTCAAGACAGTATGTAGAAAACGTGAACGCCAGAGAATAGTTATGCTCCAATAACTTCCGAAACAAATTTCATCTGTTGTTAAAAGCAAGATATGCGAAAATTGAATCAATTTTTCACTGAAAACCGGTGATGACACCAGGTGTTCACAATAGGTATGTCCTGCCGAACCAGTATGATCCATATAAAAAGGAAGGGTTAGTTTGTCTTCACAGGCCGCTCCTCACATGTCGTGTCCTGCTTGCCAGTTACTAAAACAGTCAATGAACTGATGGACCTCACAATCCAGTGACATGATGTCAGTCTCTGATTTTGTTGAAACTAAACTAGATGTGTATTATTGAATACTTTTCATGTGAAAACCTACAGGAGAATTTTGTCACAACCGGTCCCCACTAGACACTCAAATATACCAGACACAATTATACCATTCAAACATTAGCATAACATGTGTTGTTTTCGTGATTCCAGGTATGTGTTTCTCTGTGATCGTTGGCTGGCTGTCGACAAGGATGATGGTCTCATAGAACGTTTTATACCCGTGTCTACAAATGAAGAACTTAAATCTTTCGGTCACATATTTGCCTTCAAGTCTCGACAAGACCTCACCGATGGTCATCTGTGGTTTTCTGTACTATCTCGTCCCACCTGGAGCACCTTCACCCGAGTCCAGAGACTGTCCTGCTGTCTGTCGCTGCTATTCACCACTATGGTGGCCAATGCTATGTGGTATGGAACAACCCCCTCACAAGGCACCCAGGACGTCCATCTCGGCCCATTCACCTTCTCGCCACAGGAGCTGACTACAAGTCTGATGATGAGTCTGATCGTTGTGCCAATTAACCTGCTGATTGTAACACTTTTCAGAAAGGCTAGCCCAAAACCACCAAAGAGAGGTAAAAGCAGTGACGCTCTCAACAAACAGAACAAACCAGGGCATCTGTCTTCAATGTGGTCTTCTGGTGGAATATTTACCGTTGAACCCGTCCAGGTGGACAAACAACATTCTCCAAACGTAGTAACAAAAGCTCCTGAAGCAAAGAAACCGTGCTGTGTATGGCCGTACTGGGTGACATACGTAGCCTGGTTGTTGGTCGCGTTGTCCATTGCTGCTCCCGCCTTCTTCACGGTCTTGTACAGTCTTGAGTGGGGAGCTGACAAGTCATCGCGCTGGCTCACTAGTTTTGTCCTGTCATTCGTGGAGTCGGTACTGCTAGTTCAACCAGCCAAGGTAACCCGCATGATGCGACCTTTCAAGAATTCATTTATATTTTATTAACTAACATTGCAAGTTTCAAGAGTGAAAAGATGGATAGTCATTAATTTGTTTGAGCCTTGTGAGGAACTGGAGTAGATAGGTGGTCTCAGTGCTGGCGTCTCGCACTGACCAAGGGTTCAAGCCTTAACATAGGTAGAATGTGTGAAATCTACTAATGGTGTCCAATACTGTGATATGTCTGGAATATTCCAATCTCACTCTGAATTCTGTTGTTATCCCATTGAGTAATCTAAAAGGGGATAACAAAACAACATGAAGAAAAGACATTCCTATTAAGACACGTGTACTTGAATTTTTACGAATTAGTATTTCCAGTTTATTGTTATGAGCGTGAGAATCTGATGATTATTTTCTACAGGTCCTGGCTGTTGCAATGGTTTTGGCTCTCATCTTTAAAAAAGTAGATATTGAAGAGGCGCCACCTGGAGAGCTACAGGGGGAGATAATCCAGTATAACCAGTCTGCAAAAGGGAACTATTCTAGTTATGCAGGCGCAGTGAAACCAGGTATGTCAGTTTAAACTTCCGGAAGTGTAATCAATTCCAATACATGGCAAATGGTCCATTCATATGGGATGCTAGCGTAGCTCTGTAGGTTAAAGCGATCACTGTCCTCGTTGGTAAAATGTGTGACGTCCGTGATGATCGTGGAGCATTGCTACAATTTAAGATCACTGATGCAGGACAGGTGCCCCTTTACACACGCACACTCTATATGAGAAACAATGTACCACAGTTCACTGTAACACTTCCACATAGCAGTATCGAAACCAGACTTTCACCTTGCAATTTCTTGTAGTCTGTGGATGACATTGTATGTATTGGTACAACTGCTGGTCACTATAACGTGATGTGGAATAGTGAGGACCTGTGGTTTGTGTTGAACTTGGTATTCCCGCCTGTACCATCTATGTTCCGTATTTCATGCAGTAGTGTGTACATGACAACGTTGCACTGATAGATCTCACCAACTATTTACAGCAACAACGGTCACATTACCGGAACTGAAGCCATGATATGGGTCGTTTAATGTGATATGTTTGTACTACTTCCCTGGTTATATGTCATGATGTTTTCGTGCGAACTGTTCCATAGGTAAAATATATCCGGCAAAAGTAACTAAAGTACTGTCGGAAATGCTAGAAAAATGCTTTTTAGCCTTAACAAACATACACAAATGATCCCTTACATAACCAATACGTATACTATACGTACACATATTCAACATTTTGAAGAAAACATCTATTGAGATGACCCCTCGCCCGAGCGTGTGCTCAGGTGTCAATTTCACCTGTCGATACCGTGCATGCTGATGACGTAACACAGGCAGTTAATGTTTGTATCAAATAACGTCCCACTACCCCTTATTTTTCTAAGTTTTTGGTATTTTCATCAGTAAAAACGCATTTTAGGGCATGTCTCAAAATTTATTCCCTCGGTCTACATTAGGTAGATGTTTCTTAAAGTGATACTTGTTATTTAAGTAACTGTAATACCTCTGAATTTTAAATATAAGTCAAAAAGCATTTTTCTAGCATTTCCGACAGTACTTTAGTTGTGGCAAAGTGATCTTTGTATGGATATTATTAAGCTGCAACTGAAAGAACACTTTTTCTTCCTATCATTGCCAGACTCGATTATTTACAGACCGCCACCATATAGCTGGAATATTGCTGAGTGCGGCGTAGAACTAAACTCACTCACTCCGATCATTGCAACAAAATGCTTTTGCGGCATGTTGTTGGGCATTTCTCAACTGTCAATCTACAGCGGCCTGATAGTTCGGTGCATTGTTTACAATGTCTGCATATACAACACTGCCTAACCTAACAAGAAACACTATTAAGATAGTAAACCATATATATTAATGTTGTGCTTTTTTCGCATTTTTATTGATTAAGTTTATCACCTGTTCGTTTACCTGAGAGACGATGGGGTCACCCGTTTACCTAAATGCGTAGTTTAATTAATGCGAACAAACCCTGCTCCATTGTTTCACATTCAAGATTTTGAATGTAGTTATTCTTGTTTTTCGTATTTTTTCGATATTCGATCCTTGTTGATGGCATTGAGTGTAGAAATCCATGAGTCCTAGTACAAGTTTACTGGAATGCGTTTTGCATCATCAGACACCATTTATCTGTTTCAGCACATCGTAGACCTTATGTTGAAAAACCCCCTGACTTCTCCAGCGTCTCTAGCGTCAGAAAATACAGAAAGAAACAGAACCGTATGATAGAAATCCTCAAGGATATTGGGAGCTATGTGTTCTATCTGGTCATCATCGCCATCATCTGTTATGAGAACAGAGATGAGAAGTCCTTCCGCACAGTGGACAACATCCGCAACATGATGGTCAAGGACATACACCTGGTCGGCACAAGTCGCATCAAGGGCTTTGAGGGGGTAAGTGGATACATTGTATATATACACAATACTTCTCCCTGACAAAAAATATTCACATAAAAGTGGTACGAACCGTAGTATTGTGTCGCGAGGGCTGGAGTTCTATGACATGCATATGTATATAAAGCTTTGTTTATGAGTATTGAGCAAATCATTTCTGGTCCAATCAGGTGAATGATCGGCTTTTGTGTAAATTTTCTGTGTATCGTATAACCTCGTATATCGCTTAAGATGGGAGGAAAGCCCGAAATGGCACAGATCGTAAACCACGATATGAACTGAGCAGATCCTGACACAGAAAGGGACGCAACGCTGTAGAGCAAAACGCTCCATATTGCCAGCCAGGCCGCTAAATGCACTTATGTAAATACGTTAAAAATATTGGTAGTTCTATGGTACACGTGCAGCTGCTAAGTAAGGGATCAAGTATAACAGCGTACTTATTTTCAGTTGTCTTCCTTTGAGGAGTTTTGGGCGTGGTCAGTCGACCGCCTGGTGCCAGCCCTGTATGTGAAGACCACCTTCAATAGTGACAATGTCACGAACAATCGGCGGTCTTTCCTTGGTGACCATGTACACTACAGGGTGGGACCGCCCCGACTGAGACAAGCTCGAGCCCTGCAAGGTAATGGGGTACCCTCCTGAATTTGACAACATTACATTCGCACTTGACAGTATATTCTAACAGGGAGACTATATAAGGTTGTAGAGTATCCCTGATTCTAACGGCCTCTCAGTTATCGGACATATTGTCAGATTGTGTGTGTAATGATTTGCTGCAGCAGTGATTAAAAAAACAACATAATTGTATTGGACCATGTGGTGAACTAATTTGTATCTGCCGTGGTGTTACCAAAAGTTATAAAAGATGTTCTAATATAGGTTGGGCATTTTGCGTTAAGCTGTTGTTTCAGATATATTATATATTTTTCTTCAGATTCATGCAAACCACAAGCACCTTTGAATCGCCTCATAACAACCTGCATCGCGGAATATGGATTGACAAACTATGATGACGTAAGCTATGACGTCAACTGGACTCCATTGAATACATCCGTAACAAACAACCCAGCAGAGCCCTGGCTGTACCAGGGAGTCTCCAAACTTAACGGCATCCCATCAGTTGGGTATTTTGCAACATATGGCGGCGGTGGCTACGTCGCTGTACTTGGAAATGATGACAACACAGCAACAAATATGCTGCTAGACTTGAAGGAAAACCGATGGTTGGATCGTCAAACCAGGGCAGTTATTCTGGAAGTGAATGTATACAACCCTTATGTGAATCTATTCTGTGCTGTATCGCTCGTGCTTGAATTTCCCCCTACCGGAAGTGCTATAAGCTACGCGCATATCTCACCTCTGCGATTGTATAGGTATGTGGGGCCAAGTGCTCTATTCATGGTGGTCACGGATCTTATATTCGTTGCATTTACGATATATTTCATCGTGAGGCTTGTTCAACAGATGAAGGTGAGAGGGAGAAAGTACCTGCAAGACTTCTGGAACGTCGTGGAGTTCCTGAATGTGACAGCCGCTATACTCTGTTGTGCTTTCTATGGAATGCACTTTGTTATAACAGCTCTAACACTCTCTGACTTTCAAGAACATCCAGGTTAGTTGGATTAAATTTGTCAGGGTATATTTCATTAACTCATTTGACATTTGTCCCAAACGTCTTGTTCCCGTGTAATTCCAGGAATTAAGTTGTGCATTAACTATATTTTTAAATTTAGAACCCAATTTAACGCCATTGTTTTGGCCATCTTGACTGGAGACCATCCAGTTCAGCCCCTGAACTGTCCTAAAGCACTGTCGGAAATAGAAAAAAGAACTGTTTTTAGGCTGTTACTCTGTATCCCTAAAATTTACACAATAGCAAATAGCATATGTCGAAATAACCCACATCGGTCTAACTGGGCGTTCAGTGGGATGCATAATAGGATATCCAGAAAAGCATGTTTACTCGTAAAATCGGGCAGAACGTAGTAAATATACGAATAGCTGCTTAAAACAATAGCTCAGACTATAGATGACAATTAGGTCGGACCGTCGACACACCTAGCATGAAATGCACGTGCTACATACAGGCACAAGGGATCATCTCAAAGATATTCTATGCGTTTTCTTGTGTGTTGAATATGTGTCATATATTGATCTAACGTGTCTTTCTCTCGAAAAACTTATGTTGAAATATGTAAAACAGTATGATACCCACAGAAAGGCTTAAATCAGCCATCGTATTAAGTCTCAAAATATATAGTCAGCATGGCCAACCGAAGATCGACAGGAATGGATATTATTTGTAAATTGTTACTTGCCCAGTTTAATGCCCCTAAAGGATTATCTTATCTTAGTTGATATCTCTGTTTCCCCAGCCCGACCCCAACCACCGTCTGGGACATCCGACCTGATTTTGATTTTGCAAACTGTCTGTTGGTTTTTATAGTGGTAGTGAGACTCGGTGGTAGATACATCCTTACTAAGATTATTTTGTACGTCAGCTATCGTTTATAATGAAGCTAAGTCTAATTTCAAAATGGGCATTTAAAAAGTGTCCTTTGTAATACAATGTCATCGCACACTAATTTGCATAAAGCCAAGCCAAATAAGTCGCCTTGGACCACAATACTCACTTCTGAACTAATCTCTCCTCAGTAAAGTCCTTTTTTAACGATTCCTATCTCCCCACCACTGGGACTGTAGTTAGGCCGAACATAGTTTCACAGATATTTCACACTTTCACATATTAACTATAAATTGTGGATATAAATGAGAAAAATCAGGGGTTGTTTGTATTTCCGACAGTACTTTAGTCACCAAGAATGGCAGAGGATCCCAATGTTGAAATTCAGGGAGCTATTAATGCTAATGTGCTTACATTTGACTGGTGAATTCCTAAAGTACTCATGGAAATAGAAACAAAATAGTTTTTGAAGTTTATTTCGTAGTTTTGAACACACAACTTAAGTTTGACAGTTAAATATTCTATGACTATCGTTTTACCTAACTTCTCATTTTAACACTTTTTGTAAAATCATTCTGAATAGAAGAGTTTACAGGAGAGCAAATCGTGTCATTTCTACCCCTTGAAATTTCATCAAAATGAAAATGTATGTTTCCGATGCAAGCTATAGTATGCAAATGAGACGTAATCTCCATATTTTATGTATTTATAATATATTTTATGAAAAACGTCATATACCATTCATCCTTTATTTCTTTTATCCTAACTGATATACAAAATAATTGATTCAAGGATTTTCTCAGTACATGTTTCATGCATGTACTCTTGTTGAAAGTCTACTATTTTACGAGTTCATTCATAGCTTTGATTGTAACTTGCACAATCGCTATGGCAGAGCAGTAGTGCTGCAGGTGGTTGTTACCACCCATTGTTGATTGTGACCTAAGTTGTAACATGTTTCTAAATTTGTTGATAATATGCAAATTTTGTTATTTGTACCTGTAAAATGGTATTTTGGATCATGATTCAAAGACCAACTTAAAGTTGGGAAAAACATAGTTATTTTAATATTTGTTAAAACAACCTATTTTCATGAAGTAAGAAACAAATAAACGCCAAAAACCATTCCAGAAAACCAGTCCACTGTCACTGGTATTTGTCTCATCTAATACAACTTGATTCATCAAAACTGATATTTCGTGTGAACACTGCGGAACCTGTACGGTAATCTCATAATGAATGGACAAATTGTGGCATTGATATGTAAATATGCATAGATGCAAGGATATGTTTCCTCTTTGAATGTAACTATCAGTCTGTAGTTACACGAGGTAGTTTGTGGCGTCAGGATGTTCAACCTGAACCTTATTGTATCGTTCCATTTCCAGGGGAGTTCGTCAACTTTCAGCGTATTGTTCTATGGGATGATGTGTTCACCTGCATGCAAGGGTTCCTGCTCTTCCTCGCCATGCTGAAACTACTTCGTCTCATCCGATTCAATACCAAGATCACACAACTGAGCACAACACTGAAAAAGTCAGTTGGTCCAATCGTCAACTTTCTCATCGTCTTCAGTATCGTATTCTTTGCCTTCACGCAGTTTGCATACTTGGTGTTCGGGCCGCAGAGCAGCGAATACTTTTCATTCGTCACCAGCATGGAGACATTGTTCTCCATGCTGTTAATGAAGGTGAACATTGAAGAAATAATCATGGCTGACGATATCCTCGGACCACTCTTCCTCTTTACCTTCACCCTCGTTGTCATCTTCATCCTCGTCAACATGCTACTGAGTATCCTCAACGAAGTCTTCACGGGGGTCAGACTGGACACGCGTTGTCGTCCCGATGACCCAAAGATGGTGGAATTTATGTATAGTGAATTGAAGAGAATCATCGGTTTGTCACCAACATCACATGGTAGGCCTTTCGAATATGACGTTTTTGCATCTGGGTTTGAGGATAAATGTACCATGACATATTGTTATATTAACATACCGGACATGACAGGCGTCATTTCGATAACCTCATTAGCCAGGGTGAGAAAATTAAGTAGACCACTCGACTCTTGATAAGGATACACATCTATGTCAGATACACTTTATATCTTAAGAGAACCAGTTTTGTGTATCATGGAAAGATCTTATATATAGTGTACATTGGATATAGATCACACAACTGAGCACAACACTGAAAAAGTCAGTTGGTCCAATCGTCAACTTTCTCATCGTCTTCAGTATCGTATTCTTTGCCTTCACGCAGTTTGCATACTTGGTGTTCGGGCCGCAGAGCAGCGAATACTTTTCATTCGTCACCAGCATTTTATGTATTTATAATATATGCACGACGTGTTTGCAAGGCTAAGGAGCGTAGTGTTGCAATATACAAGTGCTTAGATGTATCGGATAATACTGATTAATAATTATGTATCCAGTTAAATGAATTTGTCTCAAAATTCTGGACTGGTTATTGTACTAAGTTGCTCAATAGGACGGGACCCAGTCAACAGGAAACGAAACTCTTGTGGAATCAATGTTTTGACTTGAAGTTTTCAGTTGAGAAGGTTCGTTTTGTGTATTGTTCTGTTATTCTCTTATTATCACCTCAGATGGAAAGGAGAAGGCGAAGGTTGTAGCTGCCACCCAACAAGTACCTGTGGAACGCTGGCTCACCGCGGAGAATGACCTTGACCGTTTCTCCCCAGAACCACTGGAGGGAGACAACTACTGGGTGTCCCTGCCACCCAACTCCACTGATCTGTACTATCAGAAATCCACAAAGGCTCAGTTTTACGATATATAAAATAATTGCTAAATGTGTGCATTTCTAATCGTCCGATATGATCGGAAGAAATAATACACACATAAATGAGTGAGCATGTTTATGAGAAATGTATTTCTTTTACCTGATAATATTTTGGTTACAGTGTTTAGTGTAATACTATTTTAGAAAATCACGACAATCCCAGTAGAATAAAATGTTCTTTTTAATCTGACATCTTTGATTATTCACTGTCCACAACAATCACGTAACATCATTTGGAACAGTTTTTGAGACACACTAAAGATATAAATACATTCTGTCCCAATGAATGACAATCCATGCAAACCGCCCTGCCGAAGATGTTCACTGCTAATACGGTGGTTGACAGCATAACATAAGGTAGTGTTGTGAATATATTCATGTTGTTATTGTTGTGTATTATGTACATAGACAACGTATTGACAAGGTGTCAATCTCGGCAAGACTGTGATAAGAAACTCAATTACGTGTGTTGTAATAAGTAACATTAAAGGAAATTGTCTATTAATGTTTGATATTGTAAAGAGATTATCATTGTCAATAAAACCAATAAATGGCTGATTCTTAAGCATATGTATGTTTGTTCTGTACTCTGTGTCTACAGGAAACCTATTTTCTTAAAGAACAAATAAACCAAATTCATTCTTAAAAAACTTGTGGTTAATTAATATCGAGCGATTAAAAGTCGCCAAAAAGTCGCCTGCTTCACTCTCGCCCGCCAACGAAACCACAGACAGGTTACGGAACTCTGTCGCCAGAGCACTGCAGTGACGAAGGATTTTCAGTTAGTTGTATATAAAGTGTGTAGCAAGCTCGTCATTTTGATGATTTCTCGACATCAACGAAGACATGCCGAATCGTTGCGTTGTCGTCAATTGCTCCTAGGGGTCGGGAGATGGTGTCACCATGCACAGCTTTCCACAGGACCCCACAGTTCGTGCTAAATGGGTTATGTTTGTGAGTGCGAAGCGAGCATTGTGGAAGCCTGAAACGATATCTTAAATAGTTAACGATAGTTAAAGAATCAAAACTACTTACTTGTTGTAGTAAAATGTGTATATGATTGTTGACTATAAAGATTTTCCATGACACAACTTGTAACATAACGATTTCTTCCTCGGAAGCCAGGTTGTGGTCGAAGTAACACTAATATTGTAAGTAGTATTACATGTATATTGACACCCACCTCGCTTCCACGAGAGAAATTGTTATGTTATAAGCTATGTCATGTAAAATCCTATTGGCCATCAATCAAATACATATTTTACTACCAGTAGAAAGTAGTTTTGATGTTGTAACTCGGTGAAAACAAACCTAAATAGCATTTATCCTCAGACTGGCGGATGTTCGCGACAGGGCGCCGCCAATTTTGATAATCGTAAAGTCACGGGCTATTTAAAGTCTGTTAGAATTAATGAGATTATGGTTTGTTTTCATCAAGTTAGAAAATCAAAACTACTTTCTACTCGTAGTTAAATATGTATTTGAATCATGACGAAAAGGATTTTGCATGACACAACTTGTAACATAACGATTTCTTCCACGGAAGCGAGGTGGGGGTCGAAGTGACAATACTGCGCGATAAATTTCTTGCTACATTCACGAGGTTAACGTCCACTCACCAGTATGTAGATACTAGTCATTGTATGTCTTTATAATCCTAATTAGTTTATTATCACACTTGTATGCATTTTGAAACTAAATAAAAAGCAGACGATCTGCTGATACTTATAGTGAATTTATAACAGGACTGTATTATCTAGACATTTTATAGTTTGCCAATGTGAATCATAATTCGCACACAGGCCCTAATGTATGTTGTCTGTCTCATTACACTTCACGGCGAAAACAATGATTCTATTGAATGCTACGACAAATGAATAAAAACAAAATGCAAATATTAAAATTAAAACAGATTAAAGTTATAGGAACAATGTCAGGCTATTATCTTGTTCGAGGAATGTATCAATCAATATCCACAAAAACGAGTGATATGCCATTCATCTGCAGCTGTTTCAAGTGATGTGTCTTTTAACAGTCTAAAATACGAAAAAGTGATATATCATTTCAGGTATACCACATTGAGTATAGTCTCATTGGTCACCCAAGATAGCACACCTGGCAACTAATTGCATAATGTCCGCTAAGTAATTTAGTTCGCCAATAATGAGCAATTCCACCAACCCAAGCAGAACCTCAGAATTCCGTGAGATGTGCGCATGCGTAAAATAATCAGTTTGCGCTTTGCTTAGAATGGTCAGCAACTAATTAACGAAGCTCTCAAGTTTTTTGCAACAAGTTCGGAATACGGATACAGACAACTTTCTGTTTTACGTGATCGGTTGCAGAAGTGTCTTGGAGGGACTTTTGTGGGTCGGAAGAGGGCACAGCCTTCATAGACCTTTTCTTTGAACCGTTGACGGACACAGTCCGTGGTCAAAGAGTGGACACAATATGGCGACACCTACCAAAGACAATGGGGTGACGGAGCACAGCTCTACCCGTATAACAAAGCCCAACACAGTTGGCATGAACAGACCCTCATCGTTTGAAGTGGTCGAAAATCTGTCGCAACAGTTGGATAAACCGAGACCCAAGTCCAAACCCGAATGGACTCAGAAGCGGAGGAAGAATACCCAGAGGGTTGTGAGCGCGCACGAAAGTGAGATCGAGGGTCAAAGGTCAGTGCCAGCATCCACGCTCGAGACAATGATGCGGGCTATGATAGACGCCCAGCAGAAGCAGACCGACAGGCTGATGGCCAAGTTGGGGCCCCGTTTGGGTTATGAAATCTCGGACTCGCATAACCCGGGCCGAAATGCGTCCGAGTTAGCCGAGATGATTCGAATGTGACGGAAGTGCCACACGGCCATGACAGTGAGAGTGAGGGCGAAATCATACGAGATTAATCATATTTCGTATTAATCTTATGCCAGCTTTTGTATCAACCCACACGAGGGTCAAAGGTCGTGTATGTAACCCGCCATCAGGAATAAACCATCAAACATGAACATGGTGTCAGAAGTGGCCGGTTTGGTGAAAAATCACTAAACTATGCGCCCAAAAGTTGTAGGAATATGTCCAAGACATCCAGTGACAGTTTAGCTAAACTTTCAAGCCTGGATACAGTGTCTTTTCACGAGATGGTCGCTTCAACTCAGCAGTGCAGGCGAAGTTTCATAGGACATGCGGTTTCAAGGTGACAGCAATGCAGCCTTCTGAAGCGTTCTACAACGTAAATAACTGAATATCTTCACACAAACTTTAGTGAAAAGTGATTTATAACGTCTTGCTTATAATATCATGAACTTTAATGCTGTATTTTTCATCTCATTGAAAAATCAACGGTAAAGCCAACTTGAGTACTACCGTAAACACTTCAAAATGGCGTCTAGCAATTTTCCTGTGCCAGCTCCAATGGACTTTAATGGAGATTTAGGTGTGAATTGGACATTCTTTCGTTCTCAATGGGAAAATTATGCTATTGCTACTGAACTTGACAAAAAAAGATCCTAAAATTGTGGTTGCAACTTTCTTGAGTTTGATGGGAAAGAATTGTTATAGAGTGTATCAACACCTAGACATATCTGATGAAGACAAAACAAAACCTAAACAAATTCTTGAAGCTCTTGAAAAAACATTTTCTACCTGCTAGAAATGTAATTTATGAACGCTATGTGTTTAACACTACAAATCAAGGAATTTCTGAAGGCATTGATGAATATGTTACTAAACTTCGTCAACTTGCTGCTTCCTGTGATTTTGGATCTCTTCACGATGACTTGATAAGAGACAGAATAGTGTTAGGAACTAAAGACACTGGTGCTCGTTCACGAATGCTTCGTGAATCAAAACTTGATCTGAAACATGCAATTGACACTTGCAGAGCTAGTGAGATTGCTGCAAAGCAATTAAAGAAAATATCATCAAACAATGAAGAAGCTATACATCTTGTTAAACGTCCATTCAAGAAGAAGCAACAGAATCAAGCTAAAAAAGAAAAACCTAAGGGTAAACCACAAAGCAATAGTACAGAACATTTGCAGTACAGATGTAAATATTGTGGTGGACAACATAAACAAGATAGAAAATCATGCCCTGCATATGGCAAGACATGTACATTCTGCAAGAAACTTCATCACTTTGCAAGTTCCTGTTTGAAAAAGAAACAAGGCAAGGGTAGTTTGCACTATCTTGATGCAGATGAATATGATGATGATGATTATTGCTCTGATGATGAACCAGTGTACTCTATTACCCACAGTGTTGGATCAGTTAAAACACGGGGTAAACAGTGGTTTGTAGACTTAAACTTGAAAGTTCCTAGTGAAGAATGGCGACTCGACTTGAAGTGTCAACTCGACTCGGGAACAACATGCAACATCATGAACTTCAGTGATTACTGTTATCTAGCTCAGCGCGGAGATCCTCCTGTTGAGAAAAGAAGGGCAAAACTTAGACTCTATGATCAATCTCTGATGAGATCACGAGGTGAAGCAACTTTGGAGTGTATTAGTGAGGGTAAGGCCCATGAACTGACATTTCAAATTGTTGATGGACAGCAAACACCGCTCTTGTCTGCTGAAACATGTGAAATCTTGAATCTCATGACTGTAAATGATCGTGTCTACAGTGTGCAGGAAGTACAGATTCCATCTTTGACATACTCGAAGATAATGGACGATTATGGAGATGTATTTCGTGGACTTGGGTGTCTACAAGGTACCTACCACTTAGATGTCGATCCAGCCATCACACCTGTGCAGCATCAACCTCGCAGAATAGCAGTAGCTCTGAAGCAAGAAGTGAAAAGCAAAGTCGATGAACTTGTTGAGAAAGGTGTGCTTGCTAAAGTCACTGAACCAACTGAATGGATCAACAGCATGGTAGTTGTGAAGAAGCCAGGAAAATTGAGGATATGCTTAGATCCTAAGGACTTAAATGTTGCCCTGAAACGCTCTCACTACCAGATTCCAACCATAGATGAAGTTCTTCCTCGTCTTGGTGAAGCCAAAGTCTTTTCAACTCTTGACGCAAAAGATGGCTTCTGGCAAGTTCAACTTGATGATGAAAGTAGCTACTTGACTACATTCTGGACTCCTTTTGGTCGATATCGCTGGTTACGTATGCCTTTTGGCATCGCCACAGCTCCTGAAGAATACCAACGACGTCAGCATGAGGTCTTGGAAGGATTATCCGGTGTTGAGGTAATCCATGACGACATCCTTGTCTATGGATGTGGCGACACACTTGATAAAGCCAACATCGACCATGACAGAAACTTGATCAAACTACTTGAAAGGGCCAGAAAATCAAACTTGAAACTGAACAAGTCAAAGCTTCGACTCCGACAATCAGCGATTCCATACTTGGGTCATCTCTTAACGGCAGAAGGACTTAAACCAGATCCTGAGAAGGTACGTGCAGTCCAAGAAATGCCAAAACCAACTGATGCAAAGAGTGTTCAAAGATTCATAGGTTTCATTAACTACCTATCAAAATTCCTGCCTCGTCTCTCTGAAATATGTGAACCTCTCAGACGTCTCCTTGACAAAGATGCAGTGTGGTGTTGG